GAAGTAAGGATATTAGAACCTTGAGTGAACTCATGTTTACTCAATTTGGAAAGCAATTGAGCAATGTAAGAAGTCCGTCGCGTAGTAAAGTCTACCACAGTACCTTTAATACTCATACTGCTCACACGACTGTACATTGCTTTTGTATTATTTTATATCGTTACGTGGCTAATAAGTAATTCAGATTTCTTTCTTTTCTCTTTATTTTTTTTTATACAAAGAGCCACTTTTACTATGCGTAACAAAGAACTTTTATACAGTCCATTCGCCGCTCAAAGTAAACATAATTAAGTCTAATCGACGGTAATTTACATCATTAAACCCAGGGAATGTAAATAAGATAGAAATCGCAATTTACGTGTTTAATTTGTAAAAAGTAAGGCGGTGGAAGTTTCCTAATCAGTCGGCATGATCAGTCCCGTTTGTTCCTCAAAGCTACGGCTTAATCATCTGTATGTTTCACTGAAAATTATATCGAAATTTCGATATCAAAAACCAAAGGGTTGAGGAATATTGAAGCACCCAATATCACAGAATTCAAACAAAACCTTACTTAGGTTTAGTTTCTCAATAAATAATTTTATGGCACATAACTTGTGTAATTTCACTAATCAAAGTTTGCGATATTAAGACTATAAGGCATATCAGCTAGTGCCACCTCGAAATCATCATCAACAACAGGCCATTAAATTGTGTCTTATTAACTGCAGAAGGACGATCCAGAAGCAAAATAATGTATGATTGGCCTTCCCTAGCCACACGGTTTGGGAGTACCTACCTAAAAATTACGATAGATTGAAGGGTCTTTTATTATGAACACCGATGACCGACAAAAAGTCTGAAATGTATCTGCAATTCTAATGGAGCTGCTATCCTCTGACATCAGCCTGAAATATTTAATCTTCTCGGTCCCGCAGCATTAATATAATATCAACTTTCTTCATAAATTTTTACATGTCTGAAAAAGATCGATGTCGAAACACGGGACAATGAAATTTTTGTATTTTTTGGAAAACATGGAAGCCTCCGGTGCTTCAATATTTATGGTAGGAGTAGTTGAACAAACAAGGATATCCGGTATGTTTTGACAACATCGATTTCATATCCAGCGCAAACATCAATTTTCCATTAATTTATTGGTTTATTTTATATTATGCGGAGCTCTCTTGAAAATTATCATTCTTGTTTGTCATATTATTGAAAAACAACAGTGTTTTTAGGAATTTCCTACTTGTAACTTAACAAAATTAAGAAATTGTCCTCGGGGACTTCTTCGCTATTTTACAGTGAAAATACATGTTAGGAATAGATACCACCTCAATCTTGATTTTTTTCTAACAAAATACGAAATCAAACTTAATATTTTACAGACAAATAATATTTTGCATTGAAGGTTTTTGTCAAATTTTATTGAAAAATAACCACATTTTTTATTTACCACACACCAGAGAAGTTGCTATGCATGCATGCAATATAATAATATTTTACCAAAAGCATGTTAACGAGTGTGTAAGTTTATGATACGATCCATCTACTACGGTAAAGGCTCATTTTCTAAACCTTTCGAATAACAACCCAAACTCGTTAAATACTTCGAGTTGGCAATTAGGCTTATCGTGGGTTCCAAATTTTATCCATCGATAGAAGTTCAAAGTAGGGCCGTTGTAATTTTAACCGCTTACACAAACTGCTTAGTCCAGCCACGTCATCTAGGGTTAAACGTCGGTGCCCAATTACATTTATTGTTAAAGTTTGCAGCAAGATATCTAGTTTACACAATCATTACCTAAATAACTTAGGCTTAGTTGCACCATCTTATTTTAACCGTGACTATACCCATAACCCATGTTTTTTGTATGGAAATGACAGACTTTTGACGTTTCTTAAAGTTAAACTAAGATGGTGCAACCCAGCAGTAAGCTATGTTGTGTGAATTCACATAACTTACAGAATAGAAACTATTCAAACAGTGCTCTATAGCTAGAGACGTGTTACGTTACACCCTTTTGTAGCACAAACGTAGTTCATTCGAAGTAGCCGATACTTACGTGCATGAATCTCGCATACATACTCTTGTCCAATACGTGTCCCGTTGTATTCAAAATAAGTTTTAGACTACGGTAACATAATATCTGCATTGCAGCGTCCTTGTATCACACATAAATGGAAAATAACCTACTTCAGTAAAAAAAGCCAGCGATGTAGCGCGAACCAACTCTAAACTCTGTAAAATAAAATCGGGACAAGTAAGCAACTAAATAATAAACTTGTTTCACAAGATAATTTCATCCATGAATATTTTAGCCGAGCAAAGCATCATCCGAGTATCGTCTCTATGGAGATTTGTGTCATAAATAAATTCATACCCCGAACTTGTAAACTTTTCTCGAGGTAATTCGATTTTGTTTCATTGTCGTCTTAAATTTAGAATACTCCAAAGTACAGTTGGTAGCTTAATCGAAACAAAAATGTACTGAGCAAATTAAATAATGGCATTTTTTTTTCATTTTTTGTCATAAAACGTAACTAAATAGAAATGTAGGTAAACCTCATTGTTGCGGCCGCACACAGCCACCTTCTTGGCAGCGCGACACTGGCCAGTAACAAAAACTGTGTCAGTTTTTCATCGCCGAATTATCGACACTCTTTTGTCTCTTCTCGCTCATGACCCTTTTTACGTATAGTCCAGTAGAATTAGATTTTAAATCGGAAATAATTCCTACAAAATATTTTATTGCTTTATTGGCTTCATTGGTTGCCCATTAAGACTCTCCTAGGTTTTCGACTTCGACGGAGTTGTGCTTAAAAGTGGTGGGGGCCCCCGAAAGGGGCGCTTTTTCGGTTTTCCTGTTATACCGTGTAAAGGACTTACCCTATCGTAAAGTGGTCTTCCTGACGGTTGAAGGGAATTTAATCCTGCATTAAATAAGACCAAATTGATATGTTTTGGACAAACCGTTCTCGTGCAAATGTTCGGCAAAGTAGAAAATATGTGTATAATTAATGACCCTCTCCACGTCCAATAGCTCGTCACCCGTAAGCTCCCAAGCCATGTAAAGGGTCGCCTTAACCAGCGTATCCCTGTCAAGGCTCACAAGTTGGATTCTCTTATCCTTATTCGTCCCAGCCGTTCCTTAACTGCGGTTGCTGCACCTCTCCCTGGCACTCTCCTGAACGACTCTGTGTTACCTAATGTGGCTGCCCCTCTTCCTTGTACCCTCCTGTACGATTGCATTGCTTAGCCATATGCCTGGTCCAAGGTTAGACGCCACAAAATCAACTTCGTACGCGTGAAAATAGTTTAAATACTATTTTCCGTGCTTGCAACATTTTTCTTTACTGCTTCGCCTCTATTAGTCGTAGAGTGATTGTATATATCCTATAGCCTTTCTCAATTTATGAGCTATTCAACACAAAAATAATTATTTCAATCAAAGTAGTAATTCTTGAGATTACCGCGTTCAAACAAACAAACAAAAAACTCTTCAGCGTTTTAATATGAACTTGTTGTTGTTGATTTTTGGCGTCGAACCTTAGACCAGGCATACGGCTAGGCAATGTAGTCCTGCAGGAGGATACAAGAAAGAGGGGCAGCCACAGTAGGTAACACAGAGTCGTTCAGGTAAGTGCCAGGAAGAGGTGCAGCAACCGCAGTTAAGGAACGACTGGGACGAACAAGGATAGGCGCATCCAGCTCGTAAGCCTTGATAGGGTTACACTGGTTGAGGCGCTCCTTTTCAAGACTTGGAAGCCTGCGGGTAACGAGCCATTGGACGTGGAGAGGGTCATTAATTATACGCACATTTTCTACTTTGCCGAACATTTGCACGAGAACGGTTTGTTCAAAACTTATGAATTTGGTCTTATTTAGTGCAGAATTAAATTCCCTTCAACCGTCAGGAAGACCACTTTTCGATAGGGTAAGTCCTTTACGCGGTATAACCGGAAAACCGAAAAAGCGCCCCTTTCGGGGGCCCCCATCACTTAAGCACAACTCCGTCGAAGTCGAAAACTTAGGACAGTCTTTATGGGCAACTAATGAAGCCATTAAAGCACTAAAATCTTTAGTAGGAATTATTTCCGATTTAATTCATTTTTGTGTTTAATTCTACTGGCCTAGTATGATTTTCCGGGACTCGTATTTTATAAATAATTGTAATGTTTTTACTTGTATTACTTATATTCACATTTACCACATAATCTCGAGTAAGAAGGTATTACCTAGGGTTAAAAGGAGATAGGCCTGCTGGTTGTGATTAATATGCAAGAAGCAATTTAAGGCAACACTCCAAAAGGGCCAAAACAGTATTTATTTTGCTCAAGACATAAAACTAGACCGCACAAGAGACAGTAAAAAAAGCAACTTCAAAATCCAAAAACAATTTAATAAAACTAAAAAGCCTTAAACAATATCAAAAGAGGATTGCAGGCCAAACTGCCAGCAACACTTACTTCTATTCATGTACCACAACATACAACATTTAGGCAGACCCATCGAACCCCTACACTCACATTACTTAGCTGAATTTAGGAGCGGATAATAACAAGTAATAAATCAATTTAATGTCGGTCATAATGATGTTAAAGTTTTAACTTTACTTCAGGCTTATCCAAACTGAAAGTCAGGGTTATGTGACGAAAAACTGGACTTGTGTACTTAGTTTAACCTATTTTTTTAGTAAATATATAATCTAAATAATATACAACATTCCGTCTCATATTCGAAATTAAAATCTAACTTAGTTATATAAAGGTCTAAATTATTTAATCAATAGAAAGGAACTCGTAATAGAACGGCAAATTATCCTAAACTAATTTCAATTAACTATTTATTTATTCAGAGGACTTCGTGTGAAATTAGGTATCACATTCGTTAGTGTTCCGGCTAAAGAAAGAAATCCAAGCCTGTTATTTAATTTGTTTCGTTCATTACATAATTATACGAGTAATTACGGTCTTCATTACTAAAGTGATGCTTTATTTTTACCTATATTGTGTAACTTAATAATAAATTCAATCAAAATGGCAGTGTAATTAAGAGAAATGAGTGAGCACTTTTGTATCTTACATTTTCTACGTAATTCAGGCGAAGAAAGTCACACAATACTACAACGTCATGTGGTAAAAAATTTAACTGTTATAGGGTAATTACCTGATTACCCGACTGCGCCAGACAGAGGATTATGTTTTTTTTTGCTACTATTTTTTGTCACGCTCACGTTGTGACAATGAAACGTAAATCAATAATACAATCAGCAATGTAACAAAATGATAAATTCTGTCATTCCTACACCTATTTTATAATATTTCAAATGTTAAATTAAAACAAAAGAAACCGAAAAAGATCATTGTTTTATTAGCGAATCCGTCATTCAATTCTTCAATTAAGGTTAGTTTTCCAACAAAGGATAAAGAGCAGACAGGGGAAATTATAAATTCTTTATTTTTCAAGAGTATTTGTCCATTTCTTTTATTTTCTATTGGGTAATATCTTAACAGTGAATGAACTAGGCCTACTTGTCTTTTTCTTAAACTAATTTGTTTTTGTACAGAGGAGGACGTTGTACAGAAACACACATTCAATTCAAAAGTAGGTATCTAATTGTTTAAGACTGAGTTGCACCATTTTACTTTAACTTAAACAAACTTAAAAAATCTGTCAAACTCCATACAAAATTCACCGGTTATTGTTATAGTTACAGTTAAAGTAAGTTAGTGCAACTCAGCCTAAGACTTTATTAAGTTACCTACGATTAATCCATTGATAAAGATAGTGTCATTTTATCCTTAATTCCACACGATAACCAAACAATACAAAAATTTATATTTTTGATTGCATTTAAAAATGATAACTTACATGCACGGGTCTAGCGACATTTTTGTATGAAAACTATTATTATTATACTGTGATCTTATTTCGATTTTCTTTTTTGCTTTCACGCTATTAAAATCACTAGCTTTCTTATCAAAAGCCGTAATCATCCTTTTAGCTCTTTAAAAATGGCCTTTCATCAATGTCCCATGCTTATTTATACCAAACTTCATCAAAATTGTTTTAGCGTGTGAAATCGAACCAAACAGATTAGTTAGAAGTTATAATAGTAGGTAGTTAATACGGGTTGTCTGGTTGTTGTAATGTTACATTATCAAACTTGTAAATCTGGGATACATTTTATTTAGATTAGTCATTCAATGTGGTAGATGAAGCTTGACCCCTTTGTTGGACGGACCCTTATTTAAATAAATAAATCATTCATCATCCATTTAGTCCCAAACTAAACAAAGCTTGTTACTCTTAGTTTAGCATAATACTGCTTGTACTGCGGGTAACAGAAAATGGGTACTTAAACCTAACATAAATACTTTTTTTGGAAAGAGTACCTCTTTTTTTTTCTTTATACTACAAGGAAAGAAGGAAGCTAAATGATACTTATAGGAGTAGGAGTAGGTACAGTCTAGATTTTCTGGAAAAGTCATGCCAGGGTAATATTACATTCCTTAAATATCTTCTTAGTTTAGCAGACCCCTTACGCTTACATGGGGTATGTGAGGGATGCGTCTTTTGAAGTCATTGATGGTGCAGCAGAAGCTATAGCCTAGATCGATGCGGTCAGGGTCCCAGCCAATCCATTCAAAACGATCGCTGTTCCGGCAGTAGTCGGTGCAGAACTGCAGGCTGCGGACCTCAGCAGCCGTGTAGTAGGGGTTGTTGATGCTGACAAACGCAGTGCCGAGCCCACGGTGTTCGTCAATCACCACCTAGTGAAAAATTTTAGGCTTTGAAAATAGGTTTTCACCTTCTTCATCAGCATCATTTCAGCCATAGGACGTCCACTGCTGAACATAGGCCTCTCCCAATGATTTCCACAAAGGCCGGTTGGTAGCGGCCTGCATCCAGCGCCTTCCTGCAACCTTTATGAGGTAAATAAGTTTTATTTTCTGCAAAATACCTATATTAAACGGCCAGAAAACATGCAGTCACAATGAAACATTCCAGACTTTCTTTTATAAATCCTTAAATAAATAAATGAAAAAAATGTCGATTTTCGCAAAACGGTAGCGAAAACTTGCGGGTCTGTGACGTGTTTGCTGCGCGTCCACAACATCTTGAAAACGCACGCAAACAGTCAGTGTGTTAAAGCTCACTGAACAAAATTGCGTACCTTGTAGAAATAGAGGGGAACTGGAATCTTTCCGTTCCCTGTAGGTCCAAGCAAGTAAATTTTCTGTAGTACACCATGACTGTCGCGAAGTTCTGTTACCCCAAAGGTGCCGGTGTACACAACAGTGTTGTAATCGGCTTCAGCGATGCGAGCGCGAAGTTTCTGAAAGGTCGGATTATGTTGGTTGTGAAAATTTAGGTCTTTTTAGGAAGTAGGTATGCCTTGAAATTATTGGCTAATGGGTCAATTGCCCAATTAATATGTCTAGAAAAGTTTCTTAATAAAAGACTATGGCACACCCAGCTTCCAACAATCTCTCTTTTTGGCCTTTGTCCCTGTCACTGACCTGTTCAAGTTTGTTCCAATTTCCAGCGTTGAATGGTTGCCATTGAGGAGCGACGTTAATGAAAAAGAAGGTTGCACGCTGAGCCGAGGCAAATGGATGGTCACTCTTGGCGGTCAAGTGGCCGCGTGCCAAGTACTGACTCCTTGTGATGTACCGACCGACCATGTTACTACCGACAATTCCAGCAATTTGCGTTTTTTGACGAGCTTTCGAGTAGAGCTGGTCTGGATTAACGCCAGGGTAGAAATCACCAGCTAAAACATGTTGCTGCATAAATATTTGTAAAGCCCGGTCTGTGAGCACGTAGAGTTTTGTCCAATGACCCCAAGCTACCCACTCTTATCGCTCGCGCGTAATTTTTTACTAATTAATTATGTTGCTGTCACGCTCGCACACTCACTGCGGGCGCCCGTCGCACAGTCGCGACAGCAATATAATTACGCAGGAGCGATAAGGATGGGTAGTTTGGGGTCATTGGACAAAATTCTACGTGCTCACAGACCAGACTATAGTTATTTAACCGACAGAGTGGAATAGGACCCCCACTCTTCCCATGGTTGTTATAAAAGCGACTAAGGGACAAGCGAACATAAAGCCTGAGGAACACCCTCTCTAATTTACCTGAGGTCCATAAATGATCTATATCACATAACAAAAAACATACCCATCCATTCGGGCCGCCTGACGCGAGTCTGGTGGAGAGCATTCTCGGCTTTCAGGTGGTACTTCACGTACAGAACCTCCATTTTTTCTCGATTGAAGCAGGAATGGTAAGAAGTATAAAAAGAGTTCGCGACTTGATAACCAACCCTGAAATATCAATAGGAATAGGTACCCAACTACTCATTTTATGAAACATAATGGTAAGGCTGTCACAAGGTAAGCTGCTAAACTTGTCTGTTAACTTTTTAGCGGACGAAAAAATTCATTCAGGCTTAGTTGCACCACCTAACTTTGACCGTAACTATAACGATAACCGGTGCTTTTTGTAGGGAGTTTGACAGATGTTTGACGTTTGTTAAAGTTAAAGTAAGATGGTGCAACTCAGCCTTAGTCTTCTTTTTTTTCTTACTTGATGACGGCATTGTGGTCAAAACATTCTTCGTTAGTGAGTACAGCTTGAGATTCCGGGTGTCGGGCACACGTGAGACGGCCGAATTCGCCCTCGTCCCGCAACCAGCCCACACCTGAGATTAAGTTTCCGTTCATGCATGTTGCTTTCTGGCGAAATTAAGAGAGATAAAAATTATATGGTACCTTTGCAATCCAAGACTGCAAATTCTACACAAAATTCACATAGGGCACTATCGAGTACGGCACAAAGTACGGTGCCACTATTACTCGCCAAAGGCATAATAGATGCGTCAACTGGTGAGAGCTGAAGCTGTAGGAAGACTATCGCATTTGCACTCATCACATTGGCACAAATACCTTTTCAGGTCCTGTATCTAGGGTTGCCATCCGTCCGGGTTTCCCCTGTTTTTTCCTAGTTTAGAGAGCGTCCGGAGTGCGTCCGAGTGGGGTTTCATTTCTAGTCTTGGTTTAATTTTTTAAAGTTACCGAGCGAGCCACGCGACTTAGTTTTAAAAGAACCTATGGACATATCCGGGTTCTGTCTGGGCTCTAAAATCTGGAGTTTTCACGCGTCTTGTCCTCGTTACCAAATTTTAGAGATGGCAAACCTACTTGTATCTCACCAGTGCAGTGGTGCAAATGCGGAACTCTCTTGGTATAGGTACTCACAGCGAATGCAACGTCAGAGATGATTTTGGGATGCCTGATCTTGTTGTTTTGGCCAGGACAAGCGATGATGATCTCCTGCCCGGCGGTGACGCGGACTTGCCCGGTGTTGCCAGCGGGCTCCAGCAGTTTATTGTTGTGCACGTACACTGGTTGCGGTTGTCCGAGGTCACCTCTTATTTTGAATATGCAAACTGGATAAGGTAAAGATAACATTATAGTCTAATATTTCAAAATAAAAAGATATTTCTATTTATTTCCAAATACTTAAACCATTAAAATAAAATTTATATAAAATTAAGAAAAACTTCTGATAGAAAGAATAAAATCCACAGCCATTAAAATAAGTACATTTGTATAATTTAAAAGCATTAATATAAACGTTCACTGCTTAACACTTTGTGATTACATACCAGTTTCTTCTTCGTCGTCCTCCGGTTCGCTGATCCAACTTAGCTCTTCAATCGTCAGATATTCATCGAGAAAATTCTCAAATTCCTCTTCTTCGAGCGTTAAAGCTAGATCGCTGGGATCGTCAAGATGGTCAGCTGCCTTGACAGCTGTAGCCATCACGACAGCCAGAAACACCACGACGGAGTGCATTGTAAAAACCAACACTGCTGGTTAACACTGCTGGCTATCCTCAAGTGTCAGAGTTAAAGCTTTAACTGTGGTTTTATTGGATGATCCCTTATCTGCATTGCGTCAATAGTGCTACATAGGTACGTATCATATGTAGTTTTCAATGACGAATACGTTTTGAATAAATTCATAAAGTAATTTACTTCAATTGTTTCATTACATAAGTATGAATGAATACAGATAAAATTCAGACCAGATGTTTCACTTCTCTGGTTACTAATGTAATTAATGCGCTCGATAATTCTAAATAACTCCGTAGCTTATCCGATTTGGTATCATCCTAGGAGAAAGTGATATTGCATTCATAGAATTTATTTTTATTTTGAGAGTATAGAAACCAGGAACATGACTTTTGTTTTAAAGGGTAGCGCATTTTCTTACATAACATTTCAATTCCTATCATTGGAGGTCCGAAAATATTTCTCATACAATTTGAAACCATAATGATCATTCTTCATAAAAAATTTAAAACCTACACATTTNTGACTTTTGTTTTAAAGATTTTATTAAAAAGAAAACACAATTTTTTGTTTCTTGCATAGTTTTCGCTTCATGAAAAACATGCTTCTGTCCGCGGCTTGCCCGCATAAAATAAAGTTTGTCACAGATCGTTATTATGTTATTCTGATGATAAACAATCATATTATAAATTGCCATAAAAATTCCATCCAGTAAGTAGAGCAACAAATATCCATACAAACTTTCACGATAAAATATAGGACTAATTAATCCTCTTTCTGTGCTATGTCGAATTCCATGAGGATAGAGACTCTGGCGGCAACAAAACAATGATTCCTTTAGACATAAATACAAAATTAATTACTTTGCATACCTATAAATTTATACTGGTTCTCCAACCTACGGGAAAACCGTTGGGGAAAACACAATCATATTCGCTAAATACTGCTTCATGAAATGAGTAAGTAATTAAGTTACTTTAATTAATATAGTAGGTATACCTTTTTTAATACCTTTTCATAACTTACAAAAGCTTAGCTTGTAAGCAAAAAAAATAGGTAGGCAAAATACAACAACAGCTACGTTGTTGTACAAAATAAAATAGATATTACAGCCGCTGATATAAAGTATTTAAAAAACCGTCCCTCATAAGTAAATACTACAATTGATTCTCAGACGACGCACATACTTAGTGTTAAATTGCTTTGAGTATTTGGATTTACCTAGATTGGTAAGACCAATGCTTGCAAAACCTGAGACACCTAAGATTTGGTAAAACATTCACGTAAATTAGTGTTATCAAAAGAAATATGTTCTGCTCATTTGCGGTCAAGCGCCAAGGCCAAGATTTTAAACTACGCGATAGGAAAAGCTGAAGTTCGTGTTTGTAACATTTAAGTGTATCTGCAGTTAGGATACTATTTTCGTGTTTATCAATGAAAAGCATCGTGATATCTTTATGCGACGAAATAATCGCATGAAGGCACTAATCGATCACGCCGTAATACTTAATTCTTTGGCACATACAGGGAGGCGTGCGGATAAACCTACTGAGATAAAGGTTAATATAAAAGCAAAAAGTAAACAGATAATGATGACAATCAGTCCTGACTACACTGAAGGTGTAGTCAAAGTGACGGTAGCATCAGTACGTAGTGACAACGATGCGTACGCTGGTGATCTTCGCCTGCGCCGTGCTGGCCGTGATGGCTATGCCGGCAGACCTGCCCGAGCCCGGAGAACTCGCGCTGATGCTCAACGAGGAGGACTTCGAGGACTACCTCGACGAGTGGCTGGCCAAGGAAGAGCCCAACTGGGTCAACCTCACCCTTGCTGATGAACAGAGAAACGGCCGCAGCGGTAGGTTACCATATTTACACCGTGATATTTACAAAGTGATCCGTAATCGATTGAGAATAAAAAATAATCTAAAGTAACATTATCGAACGATTTAATTAAATTGGGATTAAAATCAGCTACAAAATATCGAATACTGTATAATTATTTGTGATACAGGATGCACGTTCCGCGTAAACGGTGATCTTGGGCAGCCTCAGCCGGTGTACATCCGCCGTAACCAGCTGTTGATGCCATCTGGCAACACTGGTCAGATCTTCGTCAACACTGGTGAGCAGATCCGCATCGCCTGCACCGGCTCCGGCCGTACCATCCAGCATCCCAACATCAACGCCAACGTAGCTGTTGCTGTAAGTAACTGGCATTAAAAGTTCTGACGATCTTCAATAATTTGCAAGCTAATTGCGTCTTATTTCTGCTAAGACAGGAATTTTAACCTCGCCGAGTAGATTAGATTTCAATTATCTATTTAATGAAGTAGCTGTCTTGTCTAATCCTAATACTAACTTATTTGTTATATTTATCAGACAATCGGTTAATTTTATACAGACAGCTACGTGTGTTAGCGGGAACACTGTCTCCGGCAGTGGCTGGTTGCGAGCCAACGGTGCCTTCGGAGGGCTCACATGTTCCGCACACGCTTTCCATGAGGCTCAGAACACCAACGACAGGTGTTTCAACAACCATGCTGTTATCCGGTAAGTCTATTTATCTATCAGATTTGTTTTTAAGCCAGTCACTATCGCTAATCTCTTAACAGCTATGTATGACTAAATTGAAGTTTGAGCGAGATTATCATAATACCTTGAATTTCTAACCATCGTCTTCTTTGGATTTAGGTATTTCCCCAGGAAATGATTTGGTACGAGTTTTCTCTATACAAACACAGAATACATTATAGTAGCACAACATCTACAACCTATCGTGAGTAAATACATGAGGGTTATGATTCACAGTGAAAAAGATACAATTTCGTTGGCTTATCAGCTACGGTCTTACTATTTTTACAAAAAAAAAACTTATTGTCTTTTCCAGAGTTGGATTCATCGTTGACAACGTTTTCCACACCTGGTACAGGTCTTGCTTCGACCCCGTTCGTTTAGAAGTTTTGTACGTGTGGTACGACCAAACTGCAGCCTATGCCGTCCATCAAACTGGCGTCGATCGTCCTAGCTGGCTAGGTATTGCATTTTAATAAATAGGAGAAAAGAACGTAGGCAATTAACTTTAATTTTCTTATCGATATGAATAAAAATGTACCTATTTGCAGCTGGCAGCTTCTTCCCTGGCATTGGAATCAACAACCTATACACCCAAGTCCAACAGAAGGCACGAATAGCCACGATCGTTGGTCAAGCTTTGGCTGATCGATATGTGACGGCCACTCAATTCTTGGCACGTGGTCACCTAGCCGCCAAGAGTGACTTCCCATTCGCCACCGCCCAGCGTGCCACTTTCTACTTCATCAATGCCGCTCCCCAGTGGCAGCCATTCAATGCTGGAAACTGGAACTCCCTTGAACAGGTATCATACTTCATTCCAAGTCATTAATAAATTGGGAACACCATACATAACCATGTCCAGAATATTAATAAAATCTTGTTTCAGAATCTCCGTGCCCGCATCGGTCAAGCCAACTACAATACTGTAATCTACACCGGCACTTTCGGTGTGTCTCAGCTCCGCGATGCTAGCAATCGTCTCCAAGACATATTCTTACACCAAACCGGCAACACTCGTCAGCTTCCTGTACCTCTGTATTATTACAAGGTAAGTAAATAATTTTTCTTTCAATGGAGATAATACATATTATATCGACTATATCGCCTTGAAGCGTGCATCTTAGGAATGCCTGTTATTGAAATCCTTGGGGAAATCCGTCCGAAATTGACAATATGGTCTTTTTGACTTCAGGTGGCATACGACGCGGGCCGCCGTCTTGGCACTGCTTTCATCAGCATCAACAACCCCTACTACACGACGGCCGAGGTCCGCAGCCTGCAGTTCTGCACGGACCGCTGCCGCAACAACAACGCCTTCAGCTGGCTCCGCTGGCAGCCCGACCGCATCGACATCGGCTACAGTTTCTGCTGCACCATCGCCGACTTCAGAAGAGTCATTACCCACATTCCTAACTGGACCGTAGTTGGTTTGCTTACATAAGAGAAGCTTAGTGCGTAATATACGATTACCTAGTTGTTAGAACCATCAGTCACCGTAATAGGGGCGTGTATTCAAAACAAAAGAAATGAATTTAATTATTGTAGGTACGTCATGCTAATTTATCAGCATGTTATCTTTCTTAATCCTTAAGAACGGCAAGATATCTAAATTGTAAGGTGTTGCAGGCTTATGAAAACAAAATACTCCCAATAAATAAATTAAATTAAATATTGATAAATGTACATTTGATATGTTATTCCTTTACCATTATTATCCCCCAGATCTTATGTACCAAAAGTAACATATTATACTCTACCATGTATATAAAGATTTTTATTACCGCACAATAGGTAGTTACACCAAAGTTATACAACATAAACACTGCTTCAGGAAATGCAAATGTGTAGGTAGGTTAGTTTCTGAAGGAAAAAAGCACACGAAAGTAATGAAAAGTTTTTACCCTTTTAAATTAATAACGTTCCCTTTTAAGTTCGACTTTCACAACTCGTAAACTTGAAGTCACGTCTCTACGAGCAAATTCGTCACAGTGACGTGTATTGACGAAGCAATACAGGCATATTTTATTTTTTACGTCACACCGATATAAATTATGATCTACACTATGTTAATAGACACCAGTATAATATGAGGATAAGTGACTGTTTACGCAAGGCTGGTGTTGAGAAAATGCATTGATTGTTTTTATTTACATACACACTGTTAGACGCACTTCATGTTTAACAATCAAGCTTCGTGATAACAATCTTAATCCACGGAAATAATCAAGTAAGATCACTTATCGTTCACGCTTCTATTAATTAACGTATTTTTTGGGCTGGTCTAGGGAAGCTGATAATGGCTAATATAAAAACAAAGAACGCCAAGATAATGTTGACATTCAGTCCTGACTACACTGAAGGTGTAGTTAACGTCGTGGTAGCATTAGAACGGAGTCGCAACGATGCGTTCGCTGGTGATCCTCGCCTGCTTTGTGCTGGCCGCGGCGGCCATGCCGGCGGACCTGCCCGCGCCGGGGGAGCTGGCGCTAATGTTCAATGAGGAGGACTTCGAGGACTACCTCGACGAGTGGCTGGCCAAGGAAGAGCCCAAATGGATCAACGTCACCCTTGCTGAAAACCTGAGAAACGCCCGAAGTGGTCAGTAACCTTTAATGTACACTACACACAGCGCGAGCGGCTTGACACTACTTTTTGGGACTCTCTGTATAAGTTTTAAAAGACGATAGGTACCTACCTAAATTAAAAATTTGTGACTGTCCATCCAAATTTTGGAAATGAACTGATTGTTTTGAACTGAATAATATTTAGGAGTTTATTGTTTTGTAGATGTTGAAAGTTTTGCGATACCTATACAGGATGCACGTTCCGAGTGAATGGCGATCTTGGGCAGCCACAACCGGTGTACATCTACCGCAACGAGTTCCTGATGCCGACCGGCAACACTGGCGAGATACATGTCAACACTGGAGATGAAATCCGCATCGCCTGCACCGGCTCCGGCCGAACCATCGTGCATCCTCAACTCAGTACTACCGTATCGACCGCTGTAAGTACTGGCATAAACAACTTCTGAAAGTTCTGTTGCTCAACAACAACTAATAGCAATTTATAGTTATGCTGATTTGTAAACGTCAATGAGCTATCCTTTAGCAATCGCGATGACTAGTTAAGATTTACATTATCCGTTCAAGTAAAACTACCAATCTATTTGTAAGCGTCATTTTACAAAGCACTTTAACCTACTCTTGTTCTCACGTTAATCTTTTAGACGGCTACATGTGTCAGCGACAACATAATCTCTGGAAGTGGCTGGTTGGGAGCCAATGGTGCCTTCGGCGACCTCACATGTTCCTCAAACGCATACCATGAGGCTCAGTACACTGGTGAAACATGTTTCAACAACAATCTAGTCATTCGGTGAGTTCATCATTCGTGAAAATACGGGATATCCGTATTTAGAATGAGATTCCGTTATAATAAAGGTATTTTTTAGCAACCCTCTTAAAATTTTTTTTTCAGAGTTGGTTTTATCGTCGACGACGTGTTCCACACCTGGTACAGGTCTTGCTTCGACCCCGTTCGCTTAGAAGTTCTATACGTGTGGTACGAACAGACTGCTGCCTATGCCGTCCACCAGACTGGCGTGGCCCGTCCTAGCTGGCTAGGTATATCCTTCTTTATTACAGAAACTATCACATAAATTACGCAGTTAGGATACAAAAATAATAGGATCCTGTTTGTAGATATCTAATATCAACACGAATTTTCAGTTGGTGGCTTTTTCCCCGGCGTTGGAATTAACAACCTCTACACTCAAGTTCAACAAAAGGCGCAAATCGCCAGCATTGTAGGAGATACTTTAGCTGATCAATACGTGACTGCCACCCAATTCTTGGCACGCGGTCACCTCGCAGCCAAGAGTGATTTCCCACTGGCCACTGGTCAGCGAGCCTCTTTCTACTTCATCAATGCCGCTCCCCAATGGCAGCCATTCAACGCTGGAAACTGGAACTTCCTTGAACAGGTAATAAACTGCATTTCGTGCTTCAACTTTAAGATATAACATAACAAGACTGATCTCTATAAAAGATAGATGCATAGCTCTTAATAATATCAGTTACCTTGCATAACCAAATCATCTGTTTTAGGATCTTCGTGCTCGCATCGGACAAGCGAACTACAATGCAATGATCTACACCGGCACTTTCGGTGTGTCTCAGCTCCGCGATGCCAACAATGTTCTCCAAGATATATACCTGCGTGACGTCGGAGTCAGTCCTCAACTGCCTGTACCTCTCTACTTTTACAAGGTGAGTTATATTGTTGTTTAGTCGGGGGTAAATATCGACTAGCATTGGATAGAGCCGAATACATGGAATTAGTCGTAGAATATAATCTTTGACGTGAATTTTTTCGACGTTTGCATTATTTTGCAGGTTGCATACGACGCGGGTCGCCGCCTCGGGACGGTGTTCATCAGCATCAACAACCCCTACTACACGGCGGCCGAGGTCCGCAGCCTGCAGTTCTGCACGGACCGCTGCCGCAACAACAACGCCTTCAGCTGGCTCCGCTGGCAGCCCGACCGCATCGACATTGGCTACAGCTTCTGCTGCACCGTCGCCGACTTCAGAAGAGTCATTCCTCACATCCCAGACTTCGATGTCATCGGTTTACTGTCATAAGAGAACCTTAACCTAGTCTTAATTTACAGCCATTTGCAGATGGGATTATCAGTCGTAATAGGGGCGTAGTTTTTTATAACAAAAGAAGTTAATTAAATCATAGTACGTCATGCAAATAAATAATCAGCACATAAATGTATGTAATTACCTACTTAATGTAATNGGCCTAATAGGTACGATACGAGAAAGATAAGATTCTGAAGTAAAAGAAGTAGTTGCGTTGTAAGGTTACAAAACCAAAAATATGTAAGTAGGTACATTCTCCAAAATAGAATAAGGAAAATCAATCAATAAAATAACAATTATAAATTATTATTTGATATTTTACTCCTTTACCCAGATCCTCCACAATTATTCCGCTTAAATCATAACAGTTTTTATACACCTATAAAGGTACCTATTAAATAGGTACATTCAACCATAAGGCGTATATCACACTGCGCCGCGCTCGTACGCGGGACGACAGATTTAATCATTGTATGCAAGTAGGGTGGGTGCACCAGTCCCACACCAGGAACCAGTAGTACACCATTTCTAATTTCACATCAAAATATTAACAATCTGTCGAATTTCCCGCCACTTTTGTTACGTTTGGTAGCACTGCCGTACTTCTACCAATCATTAGTCATAAATAAAAGCGACAACACGACTTGGTATGATCTGGTCAACCTTAGGCACATTGCAACTTTCCACATTGAATGTTAAATAAAAATAAACCTTACAGCTATTAAGAAAATTGGAATGAACTACTTGATTCTATGATAGATAAGGAGTAGTTAATTCTTTTTTTTTGCAATGATTGTTGTAACAATTGAGTCACAATATCAATAACTTTTAAAATGTCGCTTATTTGGTTTGTTACTAGTACACCCACCCTACCTCAGTTTGTATAGAAAACACGCGCGGCACAACACACTGACAACGCGTCCGCGCGTGGGATCTTTTATATGAAATAACAAATTTTTAGAAATCTTTGAATGCAGTTCTCTTTCTTTTCAAAAATGAAGGAATGTTTTCTTTCAGTCAAACTTTCTATCTACAGTATTAAGAGTACTTTCCCTCCAGGTGGCATTACAAAATTCCACCCTGTATATAAGTATGTAGGTCAGGTTCTGAAATTAATACTCAATAACAGACTGTGTTTACTTTATTTCCATTTCGAAGAGTATAATGTATGTGAAATACGTCCTATTTATCGGACTCTACCCACTTACCCCATTCACCGTGCACCACCACCACAAAAATATCCAGGCATCAAGGCTGGTATCAGACCGTCAAGGCAGGCTTCAGAAAGTCCTTCCCTTGAGAGACTCTCGCCTGGACCAGGAATATGGCTGACAAATTAATGTTATGTACCTAACTGAAATTGTTTATTTGTGATTATTTACTGTGGGACGCATTTACATTTTTTATCAAACGTTTTGATAAAATCTTAAACCGCGAAAATAATCGCTTAAGATCACTTATCGTTCACCTGTTAATNACCCTAATAACTTATTCTTTGCACCGTCTAGGGACGTCCGGAAAATCCAAGATAATAGCTAATATATAAACTAAAATCACTAAGGCAATGGTGGCATTCAGTTCTGATTACATTGAAAGTAAGGCGGTAACACCAGTAGTCAGTACATAGTGACGATGCGTTCGCTGGTGATCCTCGCCTGCTTTGTCCTGGCCGCGGTGGCCATGCCAGCGGAGTTGCCACCCGGGGAGCTGGCGCTGATGCTCAACGAGGAGGACTTCGAGGACTACCTCGACAAGTGGCTGGCCAAGGAGGAGCCCAACTGGATCAACGTCACCCTTGCTGATGAACAGAGGAACGCCCGAAGTGGTAGGTGATCAGTTACCTACGAGTACGAGTATTCTTAATAAATTCTAGGTAGATTGTAAATTCACCAAATCTAAAAAGGTATGAACAGTAATAAGTTGTAAAATGACCATTAAAAGGTAGTAGGTAAATAACTTGCATGTTTTGTATAATGTTCTAGTTTCTACAGTGTGGAATCTTCACTATTATTTTCATTAGTTTTATAATAAATAAATAAATAAATGGTCCGTACATGATGCATACGATTTTTTTTTTGATATCCAGGGTGCACGTTCCGAGTTAATGGCGATCTTGGGCAGCCCCAACCGGTGTACATCTACCGCGATCAGTTATTGTTGCCTACTGGCAACTCTGGTCAGATGCTTGTCAACACCGGTGAGTAGATCCGCATCGCCTGCACCGGCTCCGGCCGCACTATCCAGCATCCAAACATCAACGCTAACGTGGCGGTCGCTGTGAGTTGTTGGCAATACTGGCTTTTTAACTTCTGAAAATCAATCTACAGTATCTTCCTACAACTATAATAATAACATTTGTCAATGAATGAGACAATAAATGGGTCTTCAGCAATCTCGATGACTAGATAAGATTTGAATTATCTGTGTGTAGCGTCTACTTTGAATTGCTATTACTTAATTGACACACTTGAAAAACAGTTGAACATACTCGGGCTCTCTCTAATTTTTTATGTTTGAACAGACGGCTACGTGTGTAAGTGATAACATCGTCTCTGGTAGCGGTTGGTTGTCAGCCAACGGTGCTTTCGGCGGGCTAACATGTTCTGCACACGCCTTCCACGAGGCTGAGTACACTGGTGAAACATGTTTCAACAATAATCTTGTCATCCGGTAAGTTTTTTATCATTGAGCAATATTATGTTCTCAGTAAATTAACTCTACCCAATGACTCGGTACTACCTATCATATTATCTTTTCTAGGGTTGGATTCATCGTCGACAACGTTTTCCACACCTGGTACAGATCTTGCTTCGACCCCGTACGTTTAGAAGTTCTTTACGTATGGTACGACCAGACTGCAGCCTATGCCGTCCACCAGACTGGCGTCGACCGTCCTAGTTGGCTTGGTATTTTCTTTTAATTATTTTATGCGGAATGAGACAAAAGAAACTATTCTATTTTTGGATACATTCTTAATTTAAAATTCAAATTACAGCTGGCAGCTTTTTCCCTGGCGTTGGAATCAACAACCTCTACACTCAAGTTCAACAAAAGGCGCAAATCGCCAGCATTGTAGGAGAGACTTTAGCTGATCAATACGTGACTGCCACCCAATTCTTGGCACGTGGTCACCTCGCAGCCAAGAGCGATTTCCCATTGGCCACCGGACAGCGGGCCACTTTCTACTTCATCAATGCCGCTCCCCAGTGGCAGCCATTCAACGCTGGAAACTGGAACTTCCTTGAACAGGTAATAAACTGCATTTCATGCTTCAACTTTAAGATATGGCATAATAAGACTGATCTCTATAAAAGATAGAAGTATAGCTCATAATAATATCAGTTACCTTGCTTACTTAACCAAATCATTTGTTTTAGGATCTTCGTGCTCGCATCGGTCAAGCCAACTACAATGCCATCATCTACACCGGCACTTTCGGTGTGTCTCAGCTCCGCGATGCTAACAATGTACTCCAAGATATATACTTGCGTGATAATGGAGGCAGTCGTCAACTGCCTGTGCCTCTCTACTATTACAAGGTGAGTTGGAATGTTCATTCCTGTGGGAAATTAGTATGTTTTCCTGCTTGCCTGAAGAAAGGTCATTGGATATATCCTTAGGCATATTTTTTTACGTTTGCATTATTCACCAGGTTGCATACGACGCAGGCCGCCGCCTTGGCACTGCTTTCATCAGCATCAATAACCCCTACTACACGGCGGCCGAGGTCCGCAGCCTGCAGTTCTGCACGGACCGCTGCCGCAACAACAACGCCTTCAGCTGGCTCAGCTGGCAGCCCGACCGTATTGACATCGGCTATAGCTTCTGCTGCACAATCGCCGACTTCAGAAGAGTCATTACTCACATACCAGACTTTGACGTCATCGGCTTACTGTCATAAGAGAACTAAAACAACTTTTAGACCTGTGAAGTGGAGTGGAGTGTAGTGTTTCTTAACAGAAGTGAGTTCAATCGAATTACGTCACAGATAATATCAACATTCTAACTCTAAGTAGGTACCTATTGGTTTTTAAGATTGCTTGTTGATAGCATCTTAAATACAAAACAGCCAGATATCAGCATAATAATATATGTAAGTAATTAATAGGGTTTAAAATGGTATTACAGTCTTTATCTGTTGATAAAAGATTTTTTTTCTTTATCTTTCCTTAAAACACTTTTTCAGCTCTATCCGCCCAAAGTATGGGGGAAAAAATTTGGAAATACCTAGTAATTTTAATGAACCATTTTTTTTTATTATAATAGAAGAGACAAACAGAGATAAGAGATAAACTCATTATTATAGGTAATTTGACTAATTTTAAACCACTTCCATATCTTTGTTATTATGAAGTATGAACTATGTATTAATGTTATTAGTTCTTAAAAAAAGGATTGATATTAGTTTACCTTTTTGCGTTAAGCAATAACTATGCCAAGAATCTAATCTAAGTATTAACACGTTAAACAACGCCATAACATCTACGTTGTTTGAAATCTGAGAAATATTTTTTTCATACCTACTTAGTATAATAATGAGCCTCTTGGTATTAGGTTAATTATTGGAAAAATAAATGTCTATTAATTAGGCAAGGTATTTCTACTATTAACTATTTATTACATTTACCTATTGCTAGTGAATATGTTATAATATGAGCTATCAAGATGGTCGACAAAACATTTGAGTTTAGTTTATTTAGTAGGTATAAAATCATAAATAAATAATTCATACCAATTTAAATATTAAATGGATACAAGCAGTGTTAAAATCGATCGCATTAAAATTAATATTCTTTAAATAAATAAATAAATAAATAAATAAATACTCTACTAAGTAAGTACCTACTTGGACGATCAAGAAAATATAAGTGTTCTAATTTTCTTCCAATTTCAGTGTTGTTTTCATAGTGAGAAAATACTTTTACCAATGAAGTTGAGTCGTGGTTATTAAGCGTCAGCTGGTAACATACATTTTTATAAAAAAAACTAGCTTTCCGCCCGCGGCTTCGCCCGCTTGGAATTTTGTCTGTCACAGTAAATCTTTATCGCGCGCGTCCCTGTTTCAAAAACCGAGATAAAAACTAACCTATGTATGTTCTTTCCCGGGACTCAAACTATCTCTATGCCAAATTTCATCAAAATCGGTTGCGAGGTTTAAGCGGGAAAGCGTAACAGACAGACAGACAGACAGACAGACAGACAGAGTTACTTTCGCATTTATAATATTATATAGTTGGGATTGGGATAGGACGAATAATCCTTATTTACCCTACAGGCAGCATGGCGGATAGCTCTTCAGTGATAAGCGGGAATGGACTGCTGGGAGAGAGCTTACAGGATTGATATAGCTAAAAGCTGTACCATGGACAGTATTTCTCTACGTTATTTTTAGTTTAACCTTTGAATAAGTGAATGCACGTTCTACACAACCTACGAATAGTTCCAAGTTTTTAAAATATTTATTTCATCTTTAAAATATTCAATTCATTCATTCGAGTAATCGAAAATTGATGGTGCCATACATAGAGTAGGTACGATTTTTTTTTTGCATTTCTGAGTAGAGGGAGAGCAGCAATATCTTTTGTAAGGAAAGCAGAGAGCAGAAATAATTGTATTGTTGATGTCGATGCTATGTTGAGTGTCGGTAAATATAAAAATTCAAAGGTGACTGACTGACTGACTGACTGACTGACATAGTGATCTATCAACGCACGTCGCACAGCCCAAACCACTGGACGGATCGGGCTGAAATTTGGCATGCAGGTAGATGTTATGTGACGTAGGCATCCGCTAAGAAAGAAATTTTACGAAACTCCACCCCTAAGGGGGTAAAACGGGATCCACGCGTACGAAGTCGCGGGCGGCGGTTAGTACCTACTGTATTTGTAGCTGATCTACACACAATACGAGTATGATGCTACTATAATATTATAAATGCGAAAGTTTGTATGGCTGTTAACATGTTTGTTACTCTTTCACGCAAAAACTACTGAACAGATTTTGATGAAACTTTACAGTATTATTGTTTATACATCAGAATAATATATGCTATAATTTTTAATCACCCATCGCACGCACCTTTCAGACACGCTCACAACCATCCTATAAGATGCCTCTATCAACAATAAGTAATTACGTGCAATAATTATATGCAATTTTATTTTATCATCGATCATCTTGAATTAATACTCTAACCGTTTAAATACGTAATCATAGTATAGCACCACATGAAGCAATAAAGATATTATGATTATGATTATGATTACTTAGGTAATAATCATGTATTTATATTAAAATGGGCGTACAATTTTTTATAATGCGAACAGCTAGGGACTGGAATTCGCTGCCTGCTGCTGTCTTTCCCGAAGACTATAATCCAGGCCTTTTATAGTCTTTTTCACCTAAGATGATTCGTATGACGTTTCGAGTTTGAAAGTTATAGAGATGTCACATAACTAAACCATAGCGATTTATCTATCGATTTTTTTCTAAGAGTTAGTGAAACCTACTTTTAGAGAAATATTTTGTATATGTGTTATTTAACAAAAAACATGTTTTTTTTAATTACAAATATTATTGTAACAATTTTTTATTGATAATATTCAAATTCCATGGACTTCGTGTTCAAAAAAACGATTCCTAAAAAGTTCTGGTTCTATTTCTTTAAATTAAAAACTATTAATTTATTTTCAATGCGTTTATTAAAGTCAACAATCGAAAAATATAGTTGATTTTTGAGATGTTTTTAATAACTAAGTAATCACTACAATCGATTAATGAACCGCGGAAATAATCGATTTTGTTATACAACAAATACCCCAGCACAAAATCTATTCCGTTTCACACATTGCGTACATTAAATAAAAAATATTTTTACATCGTATTTAATTAAAATATAATCAATAGACTCAGATTTTACTATATATTTCAAGACAAGTAGTTAATTTTTTTTTTATTATATTGCTAATGAAATACAAATATTTTTTCAAAAATATTCTGCATATGTAGTATGCGTAATATGGATAACCTTAAAGTGTCATACGGATCATCTTAGCTGAAAAAGACTATAATAGGCAGTGAATAGGCACTTATAGATGACCCACGCTGAACTGTCCCACCAAACTCAATGACAGGGGGGCGCTACCATCGTTCAACTATATGGTTTCCAACATAGCAAAAATCTGAACCAGCGATCCGGTATTGACGGTGGCGCCCCACTGTCAATGTCATCGACAGGACAGTCCAGTATTTTGGAACTATACAGGGCAGATGTGTACCATCCTAGACTGCATCCCATTTAACATCAGGTGCGATTGTGGTCAAATACCTGCCTTGTTGTGCATAAAAAAAGCGTCATAATTATGTCAGCTTTACTTCTATAATTTCTAGCAGGAATAGTCCCAGTGGTTATTATCAAGCAGTCATAAGTAAGTAGGTAGGTAAGTAAATTCCAAATTTCATTATACGATTTATGCCGATAGGTATAGTTACCCTCACATACAAAAAATAACTATTACATACTCGTAGCTACTTAAGATTAGCCAGGCTCTACGTTGCTACTACAACACTACGAGCAATCGGACGGGCAGTCGCTCTAGCTACTTACCTACGCAGCTACGGCGAGGCGCGTCTATCTACTACGAGTTACAACGTAGCTACGGAAGTGCTACGAAAGTAAAAAAAAAACGCTAAGGTTACGTATCTACAAAAATAGAAAAAAGTGTAAAAACAGTATGATTGGTATGACTAACATTGTACCTACTATCTACCATCTACCTACATGAACGAGGATTAAAAAATAGAACATAATCTAAATATTATTTTCCTTGAAATGATACTTACGTCGTCGGTCCACCTTGTGGGTGGATGTCTCACGCTGCGTTTTCCGGTATGTAAATAAAGCGTGATAAAGGTAGCAGGAAGGCGCTGGATGCAGACCGCTACCAACCGTGCGATGTGGAAGTCATTGAGGAGGCCTATGTTCACTTCAGCAGTGGACGTCCTGTGGCTGAAATGATGATGATGATACTTACGTGAATATTTAGGTGCCTATTTTATTTATGTTCAGTATGATGGAGATGAAGATCAGTTATAATAAACAGCTATACTGTGTGTGTATCATAGCTGTGTAGTTTTATTTCGCCTGCAGCGCCATCTGTTTTCGCCTTTGGTTCAACGTTAGTGACCATTTATAAAAAGGCCAAAGCAGTTATTTCTCATAAAAAAATATAGTTGACATATTATGTCAAACTGACAAATGGTGTCTTAGCTGTCAAATGCGTGGAGCGCGAAAGTGTCAGTGTGTGTTTTTCTGGTTTCTTCCGTATTTATTGATAAATCCAAATCTTATGAAGAATACTGAGCAGAGACCAATTTGGTACAACAATTGTATTATTTCACTTTTTAATGTCAATGTGTATCATTATTTTAGTACCAAATAAACATTTTTTCTTTCTTTCTTTCTTTCTTTAAATTATAAAACTTAGGATATACAAAGTCGCTATTTACTGATATTTAATTCCTAATATAACAGAATATAAACCGAAAACAAAGTACATAATAAGATATGGCAGAAGAACCAAAACCAGTAAATGAAAGTGATCTCAAAGAACTAAAGGATCGGATGAATTTGATTGTGAGCGCTGATCCAGCACAATATCATAATGATTACTCACTAAGGAGATATTTAAGGGCTTTTAAGACTGTGGACCAAGCATTCCAGGTACATTAAACTTTTCTTATTCTCTAACCATAATCTGGTACACTGCTGATAACTGAGTTATAGGATATTGATTTTTGTATTTGCTTACATGATAATAAATGACAGCAATAGATAAACAGAGACGCGCTTATCGTAAGATTACAGTTTACGTGAAAATAAAATGTTTCATTTATATTTTTGAATTTTAGGCTATAATCAAGACCAACAAGTGGCGTGGTGAATATGGTGTAGCAGACTTGCAAAATGATAAGGAGCTTATAGAAAAATACTCAGATAAAGCCAGAGTACTGAGACACAGAGACATAGTTGGTCGGCCGATCGTGTACATTCCTGCAAAAAATCATAGCTCCAGTGACAGGAATATTGATGAACTTACTAAATTTATTGTTTACTGTTTGGTATGTGAAAGTATAACTTTCAGTCTTTATTTGAGTTGAATAAACTTTCTTTACAAATAGATTCTACTATTGAACATTAGTTAGAAATTAATTAGTTTTATAAATCTGATATTGCAGGAGGATGCCAGTAAAAGATGTTTTGAAGAAGTTGTGGACAATTTATGCATTGTCTTTGACCTGAACAACTTCACGCTGTCCTGTATGGACTACCAGGTGCTGAAGAACCTAATATGGCTGCTTAGTAGACACTACCCTGAAAGGCTGGGCGTGTGCCTCATAATCAACGCACCTACCTTCTTCTCTGGATGCTGGGCAGTTATAAAGGGCTGGTATGTTACATTGTACAAAAAAAAATGATGGAGGAGGCTTTACCCAAGTGGAGCCACAATCAAGAGAAATACTTAATTAATTTTAAATAAAACTGTAATAATTGTGGATTTTTAAAGTATAAATAATAATAATGTTACATTGTTGGTCTAAAACTGCAAGTCTTTTCAAATTTTTGCTTACTACATACAGGATTTCCCAGAAAGACCATATTATCAAACTTTATATGTAATTAATATTGGGCTGATGAGTGCCCTACTTAATAGTATTAACTAGGTTTTGCCTGCGGCTTCACCCGCGTGAAATTTAGTTTGTCACAGATCGTCATAAATTATAGCCTATCTATTATTCTGGGTTATAAAGAATAATACTGTAGTTTCATCAAAATCCGTTCAGTAGTTTTTACGTGAAAGAGTAATAAATATCCATCCAGACATGTAAACTTTCGCATTTATAATACTAGGATAAGAAATATGTAAACAAGTTTAATGTACCTAATGTTTACAAAGTTGAATGTCTGTATAGTCTATGGTCCTGATAACCTGTTGCTCTAACAACGAAAATTTGTTTTATTTATAATTATTTATGTTTACAGGCTTGATGAAAACACTGCAGGGAAAGTGACATTTGTCAGTTCAGAGATGGATCTGTGCCGATACTTGATACCAGATATTCTACCGACCGACATGTAACTATGACAAGGATAACGTAACGATAAATGCATGTAGTAAGTATACAGTGTAATTAATTTTAACGTAAATTATGTTAATTGTGAATGTGGATATTCTATGAGGTAATTTACATTATTATAGCTACAAACCATAACTCCAATACATCAGAATTTGTCATTTATATATTTAAATAGGCAATAATAATATTTTTGCATAAACATACATTAACTATTACACTGTTTTTCAAATTGTTATTACTTACATATTTTATAAATTTTATGTAACATTGTTAATATATTTTCCAATATTATACTGAAAGTGAGATGAAAGTGATAAATAATAATACTAATTCCTATTACATACTGAACAACACTTGTGGGGTCAAGAAGGTTATTCAGTTTTCCATAGTGTTTGTAAACAAAGCTTAATTTTTAATAATAATAATCATATTTTTAAGGTGTAGTACATGAAACAAAACGTTAACTTGGAAAATATGTGCTAATAAAAATATTCTAAGCTTTTTGTGAAATCTGCATTATTATGCCTCCAATCCATGTCCACACATAATATTTTCATCTAAGGAAATACCTATTAAGTTTAATTCATGTTCTTGAAAACTTGAGATTAACACTTGCCATTAAACCATTATGTACCTTTCTAATGCTTTAATTGTTATTAAAATGTTGTTTTTTTTTTGTTAAATAAAACTGTTATAGTCAGTTAAAATGAGGATATTACAATATTTTCCTGAGTAACATTTAACTTGTGTATCATAAGTAACATGTTGTTTTCGTTATTACACTTACAAATTAATTGTGAACAATCTATTTCAATTAATTAATAGAAGCATTTTAACATGTAAAGTGCATATGAGCAGTTGAAGGCCGGTTCCATTAACGTGGGTGCAACATTTAGACGCATTTAACCCTTTAACAGTCATAACATAATCAAAATTATTATTGTTTTTGGACCTAAGACAAGCGAATAAGGCTCAAAATATGGCACATTTTCCCTTCCAAAATAATGGAAATTCTGTAATTGCTAGGCCTGTATAAGGTCAAATAAGCATTTTTGTGCCTCAACATAGATTTACAAGACTGCTATTGAATGCCCCTATGCCGACTATAGCTTATTAATTTGATAAAATAGCACATTTTATTATAATCCTTTGAATCGAAAGATATTGTAATTTTAGGGAGCCATACTGACTCATACTACAAATAGAATATTCTTACACATACATAGTTCTCTAGTCAATGGTACACATAAATTAAACCTATTCAAAACTTAAAAAATATCTTAAGAATCCTAATTTTATTGTAGTTGTATTCATGTAACATGACTGTGTATGAAAAACTATATTTATTTATGCACTTACACAAAACGAAAAACTACGATCATTACCAAATACTTGTCATAATTATTTTAAATAATCAAACTTATTCATTCCTGGATGTTGATTTTATCACATCAAATGTTAATTTAATGATAAATAAGATTTTAAAACATCCAAACTATTTCAAATAGATCAAAAAGTCCTGAGCTTGCACTATGATTGATTGAATGAATTTCTATAATATTTAATTCAATCACATCACAGGCTTTAATTTTCTCTGATTTATAGTACTTACAGCAACGTCAATGCTCTTTAAAGTATTCCTGAATAAAACTACAGGGTATTAAGTCTCTCTAAAATCGTATATTGTCAAACTGGCTGTATTTTATTGGTTGATAATGTAATTTCTTCTCAGTCTTCATCTTGACGCTAAGCCCTTTTTAGAGGCTAAACACGCTTCGGTATGTGTAAGTGGGCGTTTCATTTAAATGCTATCAGTTAGTTTAAAAATCATGGTTTATGTTATGTTAGGAAATAACTAGTAAATAATTTTGTCTAAAATATTACCCAAGCAATAATTTATTGACATAACAATACATTATCGATAATACCAAGCCAGATTTAAAAAACAATAAAGATTTTACGCATTTACTAATAATAATATTTTGGCCCATGTCATTCCTTAATAAACCTTAAACAGAGAATAGGCTAATTATATTTACTTAAATGTAGTTTTATTGTAAGGTAATGATTTATTTTTGTCAAAAATATTATGTAAGTATTTTATTTGAGGTATGTAATGAGTGTATGTAATATAAATATATGGCGAGCAATTCATGAACTCAATTGTTTTTATTCCACTATTTCCTAATTTTGTTTTTAGTTCCTAGCACCTCTATGAAAATGTTAAAGATGAGTATTGGCGTATCGTAATTACATGATATTTTTTTTATGCATAACAAGGCAGGTATTTGACCACAATCGCACCTGATGTTACGTGGGATGCTCTCGCCTTGAAAAGGCCCGGATTATAGTCTTCGGGAAAGACAGCAGCAGGCAACAAATTCCTAGCCGTTCGCATTATAAGAGACATCGAAACGCTTAGTGCGAGCTGGTGGAATGTCAACAATATAGGGATGGTACGCTAACCTGCATCTGGTTCCCCGATGGTAGCTAGATGGTATCTAGCTTGGGTAGTACCATAATTGTCCAAATTTTACAGTCATTCAATCCAGCAGGAGATCCGTAAACGAACTAAAGTCTGTTGTTCTGGAATGGAGGCCGCGTGCCGGAAAACGCAGCGTGGGACGTCCACCCACAAGGTGGACCGCCGACATCATAAAGGTAGCAGGACTTTATAAACTAACTGCTAGTTTATTATCCACATAATGGTAACTGGTAATAAATTAAGTAGTACTGACTTTACCCCTTATTTATGTAGGTATTTCCGTGTCCGCAAAGGAAAATTTTACCATGAAATTTACATGAAACGAAAAATAAAACCACAATTTATTAATAATGATTTTATTCGACTTAATAGTTTTATAAAACAGTTATACAAATTAATAGTTGCTGTACAATTCAAAAGCAAATTACACTATTTAAATAAAGAGTCTATATTCAATTTGTTTTATCAAGCTATGTTTTGTTTATATTGTACTCCTCAACTGTTACTTTCATTTCATTACAAATTACATAGTACTTAATAACAAACTATAGTTTTCCTAATAAAATAACAATACAAATTAATAGTAGCGCTATTTCTAAGCACTTTCGACAGATATCACAATAAATCGTAAGATTTACGACCAAATGACTTATGGACTCGCTAAGTATACATTTTAGAAAATAATAATGACTGTTTCAAGCTATGAACTAATTCATCCTTCGTTGAACCACCATTGAGAAAGGTAATAATTTTGCAGTAAATGTATCTTCGACCGCCACCTATAGTGGGATAGATTAAACGGTATGTGAATCGATGATATGAATTGTCTCACTGGTGATTCAAGTTTTGACTTAAAATAATATAAAATTGTTGTATACATATTACTTGAAAACCAACTATCCTGTACTGTTGTTATTTCTGAAGTTTAATTCCTAAAATGGGTAAGGAAATAATTGGCACATATTCAGTATAAGTGTCCCCGCTAAGGTCCCTTTTAATTTTGGATAAATCGCAAACCCACGTAGCGCGAAATTATACTACAACCTTTCAATCAATACTTTACTTACCTTATTGGACCGAATTTTTTCGAACTTTTGATAAGCTCCGTATAATGTCACTAGTATGACAAGACTTTAGAATCATTATTAATTTACAATAATCGACGCTAAAAAATCTTTATAGAAACGCGAAAATACCACAGATTCAAAAACTGAAAACGATTGGTTTAATTCTAAGATACCACTGCAACCATAGTGGACAATGCTTCAGTGTCTTTTTTGTTTATTTTTGTGCCCACTATACGTAATTATGACACTAAATACATAATTATGACTAGTTATCAACAAAAGGAATTACAAAAGTAAAAACAGCCTTCGAGTACAAAATTTAGCAATACAATAACAAATTCGGTTTATTTGTGACAATCTTAACATGCTAAAGCAATGACATGTGTTTACCAAAAATAATGTTTTCTATTGTGCGTCGTTCAAATGCATGGTACATGTTCTATATGTCATCTAATAATATATTAAATAACTACTATAATTTATGTACATTAATAATTACATAAGTAATGATATGATGATGGGCTTATACTCCTTCCTTACAATGTACGATTGATATTGCACTACCTATGACGTGCATGCAAAAGGAATAAAGGTGTACTATGACTGTGGTGAATATAATGAATTGAAAATTACGCGTGACGTGGATTATGATAAATATCGTTAAAAGCTAGTCGTACTACCATACATAATTAAATACTGACGTGGTTAGTTGACACGTACGGGCCATGTGTTGTACCAGTCTAAATGGCTCTACTATTTCTACTAAATGTATCACATATAACTTGAGATATACCCACCCAGAAACGTTATTTAACGTTTACCGGGATTACACTTAGAACCTATATTAAAACAGAACTTTAGCGAGATAGATCCGAAAATTAATATTTCTTTGTCTGAAATTTCAAATAACGTCTCTGTAGCGGACTGGTGGCAGTGTATTATGTACATTTTAAGGGTAATAACTGTATAGTTTCTTCAATTCCTTTAGTTTATCCCATCAATTCCATGCATGTATTTATTGTTCAGATTCGATGTGGGGCGTTTCTGCGATAACTGAATTGAAGTCCGTAGTTTACCACAAATATTTTTATTTCATTACTCTTCATAATATCAATCAAAATTTTCCCACAAATTTTGGGTTACACTAGACGCATTGAGACTATCGAATCGTAATAGACAATTTTATTGTTCATGTATTTATTGGTTGTTTTCCAATTGCTAATTTCGTGTGGTATACAATAAAACACTACCTAGTTATCTATCTAATGTTACATTGTCTAGAATTTCATAGTTTCAGTTATTTTATGAAGACTATGTTTGGAAAAAATCCGTATAATCTATAAATGTTTTGCGGTTGGCATTATAATTTCCATGCAATATATTCAATTCGTTGAATTCTTTCACAGCACAAAATCGGACAATCTTCATCTGATAACATAACTCAATGATTTAATAATAAACGATTACGCATTTTAGGATTGCCCAGCAGTCCTTGAAGATGTTTTTGCATTCATCATCTTATCAAATTAGCAAGTTGTAATATACTTTGTAACAGCACGTAGCTATACATCACTTTGTTTTTTTATTTTGTAATTACAAAAACAGTCAATGGTATGTATGATATTATTTTAATTAATAGATCTAAAATCTGATAAAAGGACAACTAATACCCGCCTTTTGTTAAAATGCCTACAAAAATATCAAAACTATCCGCGAGACTTGGCTACTTTCGCAATTTTTTGGCCACACAGGGATTTTTGGAGACACATCAACGACATTCGAGCTATTATTAGTAGTACTGAATGATTAGTTAAAAATTGTCTGGAAGAACATGGAAGACAATTACTTTCAGACAAGGAGAAAAAATGCGGAACCGATGAGGCAATGGTTGTGCTCGGACGAAAATATATGCAACGATAAATACTTGATAGTAAACAAAATGTCATTTAGATTGCTTATAATGAACCTGCCAGTAATAGTGTAGTAATGTTTAGTCGGATGGCATGGTTGCAATCGCTGATATTGTGTGTGTTTGATTGATTGATTGTGATTGACAGTGAAGTGTAGTGTAGTAGTAGTAGATTGTTCAAAATGTTGGTGGTATGTTATGCTGGTAGTGTAGCGTTTTGTATCATAGTGTAGCTTGGTATATCGTAACATTCAGACGAGCTTGATGACATTGCTGACGTTGTTAACGCCAGTAGTGGTATGTAGAGTAGTGTATCGTGTTGTAGCGTAGCATTCAGACGAGCTCGATTACATTGCTAACGTTGCACACACCGGTGGTGGCATTTCTGAGTAGTGTATCGTGTTGTAGCGTAGCATTCAGACGAGCTTGAATGATATTGCTAACGTTGTACACTCCTGTGGTGGTATTTTTAGTAGTTTATCGTGGTGAAGCGTAGCATTCAAACGAGCTCAGTAACATTGCTGACGTTGCACACACCGGTGGTAATCTTGTAGAGCAGTATCTCGCGATGTATCGTGTTGTAGCGTAGCATTCAAACGAGCACAATTATTAAATTGCTGACGTTGCACACACCGGTGGGTAATGTGGTGATCTTGTAAAGCAGTATCTCGCGATGTATCTTGTTGCAGCGTAGCGTTCAGACGAGCTAGCTGACGTTGTTAACGCCAGTAGTGGATTGTGGTGTAGCGTAGTATTCAGACGAGCTCAATTACAAAACTGACGTTATACGCCCCGGTGGTGGTATTTTAGTAATGTATCGTGGTGTAGCGTAGCATTCAAACGAGCTCGATTACATTGCACACACCGGTGGTGAACTGGTGATCTTGTAGAGCGGTATCTCGCGATGTATCGTGTTGTAGCGTAGTGTTCAGACGAGCTTGATTACAATACTGACTACTGTGGTGAATGTGGTGATCTCGTAGAGCAGTATCTCGCGATGTATCGTGTTGTAGCGTGCTCAGACGGGCGGCGCGGCCTGGCGGCGCGCGCGCGGCAGCGTGGCGGGCGGCGGCTGCAGCAGGGCGAGCAGCAGGCGCAGTCAGTCGGCCAGCACCAGCTGCATCATGTCCGCCAGCTCGTCCTTCAGCACGCGGAAGGACGGCCGCTCGTCGGGCGCGTGCCGCCAGCATGCCAGCATTACCTGAAACAAACGATCATCATTATAGCCTCTACAGATCACAGAAACTAAAGGGAGACGTGATCGCTTACTATGGGCAGGCCTGTTCATCTCCGCAAGTTTACATCGATAACAAAACACGCACGATGGCCCACCTACAGGATATTCTACTATTCGACAAGGCCTCACATACGAGCGAACATTGACTCACGCACGCGTATTCTTGTGTATGATGGAAGAAAATAAAGAAAACGGTGTACTAAATATTGTGCAGTATTTAACTGCCTAAATAATAATAAAAACACAGAATGTACTTTTTAAGTTGCCTCAAGACACTGAGAGGTAAATAAGTAGTTAATATTATTCATGCTAAATCATGTATTTCCTCCGCCATTTTCCGCAGTTTGGCACCTCACGTCACATCATTTTACCGAAGTCAGCCCTATAGCTTCGGCGCATTGCCGATCACTGACGTTTGTCTACAAAATGGTGCTTGACTCTTGAGACAGGCTAAATTACACCATATTGTTAATGACATTGAGCATAATTTTTTTTAAATACCTTCGCGAAGTAAAACTTCTGTACGTAGTACTTATTATTATTCTGTGCTATGGGCCTCATAAGAAGGCTCAAGGTCACCCAAAGAGCGATGCGTGCTATGCTCGGAGTTTCCCTGCGTGATCAAATCAGAAATGAGGAGATCCGTAGGAGAACCAGAGTGACTGACATAGCCCGCGGAATCGCTTAAATCAAGTGGCAGTGGGCGGGGCACATAGCTCGAAGAGCTGATGGCCGCTGGGGCAGGAAGGCGAGCGGCGCAGGACCGGTCTTTGTGGAAATCCTTGGGGGAGGCCTTTGTCCAGCAGTGGACGTCTTTCGGCTGAAACGAACGAAAGGGAAATGTGACAAGGGGGCGGGGCCGGTGTCGCAGCAATATGCCCAAAAACAGAACACATTGCTCGTGACAGAAATGATGACAACAGCGACGTCATAATGTAAACATTTGCTTGCGTAGTACTAAAGATTATTCGAACGTTGAGTTGAGTTGAGTTGATACCGCAGTGGATAATGAGCACAGCAACAATGAGTTTCGAACTCAGTGCACTAGTTGGCATCTCTCTATAACTCTATGGTAGCCTCTTAGCCAAGGTAACATTCCTGACGGTCTAACAGAATAGTAAGTTAAAAATGTTGCATTGTTTTTGGACCTTAACACAAGGGATTAAAGATTCAAAATGTGGTGGGAACCATATTCCCATTGCCTTATTAAGGGTAAACCTTTCGGTGCTTGAAGCTACGCGCAAGCCTATACCTAGATACTAGGAACACTGGCAAAACAACAGCTGTGTAATAGGGAATTTAATAGACTGCGGAAAATTGGGTTGCCAAAATATCGTTTGGTCGTGATCAGAAACTCCAGTTCATTAGTGCATGGGCAATAGTATGTTTGAATTAAAAATAAAACTTACATTATAAATTTCATTCAAACATCCTTTGGGTTTCTCCAGCACTTGTCCTCTCTGAACCATCTCCACCACTTCGGAATTCTTCATTCGACCGTATGGCACTTTTCCGCATGTGAACACCTCCCACATTAGTACACCTGTAAAATACAAGCCATTACTTTTACATGTAACCTTTTTACAAGAAAAATAGCTTTCCTCGTACGCCAGAGGGTTTCGAAGGTTTCGACTTTCGCCATGTTAAAAAATATGTTTCAGATTTTTTAAATTTTGTTTCAAATCCTAGGCAAAAAAGAGTCACTACAATATGATTTTTAAGGATTACTAATGTTTGGCCAAAAAACGTTTCCCAAATTATCACATCGCAAACAACGTTTCGCAAATTTTCATTTGGCAAATTCTCATTTGGCAAAACAACTTATATAGTTCCAAAATACTGGACTGTCCTGTCGATGACATTGACAGTGGGGCGCCACCGTCAATACCGGATAGCTGGTTCAGATTTTTGCCATGTTGGAAACCATATAGTTGAACGATGGTAGCGCCCCCCTGTCATTGAGTTTGGCGGGACAGTTCAGCGTGGGTCATCTATAGCAAACTTTTAATTCGCAAATGCCGTTTTTGGCATATTATTGTTTAGCAAATTAATGTTTGGCAAAGTATGTTTTGGCAAACGTTTCATTTGGCAAAAATATTTCACGATAAACTATTTACAAAATAATTTGATTGGTGCATAGAATGGAATACAAATTAACTTGTGGTTATTATTTTGTTTAGTGGGTAGTTAATATAAAATTTGTTCTAAATTAATTTTCATATTTCATTGTTTTTATCGAAATTTCCAAATGATTCATTAACAATAGAGGTGATTCTAGCGCTCGGCGGCCGCTGCCGCGGCACGCTTCGCTCGCCTTCGCGCGTGAAGGGTCACTGTTCTAACCTAACCTACTATTTTATGCAATACCTACTTTCTGCAACCATACTATTTTCTGCAATCTCTTTGTTTTATAGCCTGACCAGGAACATAAAAACCCTCGCCATGTTGCGGAAAACTAATGGTACTAATTTCTTTTAATGGCAACAGTAACTGAAAACTTCATTGACATGTCACCTTGCATGTCAGTCTATTGCTGTCAAAGTGTAAACAAACTTTATTTTAAATGTGCGCAATTGATTTTGTGAATGAAATTGCTAAAATCTTTTTATAGTCGTGAAAGAAAAGTGGTTCGCAATGTGTTAGAGTATTTGTCGAAGAGAAATACCAAGGGTTCGGACAATATTTTCATTGAATAATGTTTCCAACACAGGTTGTCAAATTGACTGACATGTTTATCGTATAGTACAGTCCACTATGAAAATTTGCTGTGGTTTGTTTCAACTACCTATTTTAAAGTTTTTTGTCACTTTCTATGTGTTCAATTTTATGGAATTGGGAAAGAAGTACTACCGAGTTTGAAGCGTTCATGAGCAGACATTGCAGTTAAATATTCAAGTTCTGAATTTGATTATGAATGAATAATAAAATAAATCCTACTAGCTCGATTGATGGTTTCATTTAATTCATTTAAACCAGGTTACCTATAATAATATTTTCTCGTTAATTTATGAAAATATCAAATTAGCCCGTAATCCTGAATCCTGATACATAAAGTTAGCCTATTAATTTAACACAGGTACGACTGTACTCAGTGTTGCACTATCAAATGCAATTGAAGCGCCTCTATGCCAGGGTTTTTATGTTCCTGGTCAGGCTATACATAAAATTCTTGTGAAAACCATGATCATCTGCCTTATGGTTTGATTTGTGGGTAACGGTGGGTAAGTATGTGAAGTGTCAATTTGACCAAACAAATTATTTGGGATATAATATTTGGCAAAATAAAACATTTGCTATATAAACATTTGCCAAGTAAAATTTGCCCAAATGATAATTTGACCAAATGAATTAGTTGCGAAAAGTACAGTTGCTAAAAGTATATTTGGGAAATGAAACTTTGGCGATAAGTTGTTTGCGAAGTGAAATTTGGCGAAAACGATTTTTAAATATGACCCAAAATTAGTTTTTTTTCAGAACTCACATAAATAAAAAATCAAAGTATTTACACTTACCAAAAGCCCAAACATCAGATTTGGAGGAAAACCGCGTGTAGTTGAGTACTTCAGGCGGCGCCCATTTGATAGGGAATTTCGTACCGCCAGAACTCGTGTATTGGTCGTCCAATACATACCGCGCTAGTCCAAAATCTGCTACCTATAACACATTACGTTTATTTAGTTAAGTAGGTGAGTTGAACCGTTATTTCGATTTTTTTAATGAAGTTGATTAATTAACCAGGCATGATAAATTAGGTCTTTCAGTCACTGTCACTCTCCGAATCTTTGGTATCAAAAAGATAAGAGTTTAAAAGCACACTTACTTTAACCACATTTTCATCCCCAACCAAACAATTTCTCGCCGCTAAATCTCGGTGAATATAGTTATGCCTTTCTAGATACGCCATTCCTTTGCAGACCTGAAATAAGTAAGAAGAAATCATATTAAATGCTATTCCAGCTCTTCTACTCGAAAGTCTCATTAATTTGATTATTCGGTATTATATGTAAATGGTACACAAGAGTAGTGTCGCGTGTAGTACAATTTTGGTGTTTTATGAATGGATGGTACATTGAGTCGTATGCTTTCTCAGGTATACTGTAATATATTAGTGGCATGTCGCATGTAGCTCACTGTCGTGTTATGCGTGGGTGGTTAGATAGTTGGATCATATCGAACGTCGTGTAGTAGTATTCACTAGTGTCTATAGTCTATAGTATACTTTTATCTTAACGCCAGAAAAATTTAATAACTACTTTTATCTCGTCGAATGTGGTCGTCTTGTGAGTGTTATAACGTCGTGTCACGCAGTATTGTCATGTCACGCGTGGTGCACTAGTGTAATATCGCACCTGTATGCACATATCCAGCAGTACGCCAGGCCCCAGCTGGTCAGGCGAGGTGCGGCGTAAGTAGTTGAACAGCGAGCCATGCCGCATATACTCGGTTACGATGTAGATGGGTCTGTGCTTGGAACATACGCCGTACAGCTGGACTAGGTTCTGATGTTGGAGTTTACTGTAACAGAGCAACGATAGGAATTAAAATAATTTTCAAAACTGAACAAACAACTAAGAAGCAGAATATTGACTCAAAAGAATATTCAGACATGTAATATGACCGTAATATACAAGACAAGAAAATTAGACTAGGCCTATTCCGACATCGGAGGGAAGAGCGAGTCGACAATATTTTTCTCAAGAATGTGTGATTTTATCTGTTACTAAGCTTCAAAAGACAAGGGCAAACGTCTAGTGTCCATTTACGAACACTTGTATGCTTATGGTACTCCTGGTAGCAAACAATGGATACTTACTTATATCGTTGGTAAAGATAGGGACTTGGATAAAACAATCTTTGTCTCGTTCACCAAAGATTTTTGGTTGATAAAGCGATAAGGATGGGTAGCTTGGGGTCATTGGACAAAATTCTACGTGCTCGCAGACCAGACTATAGCTGGACATGTGATCATATTATTTTGTTATTTTCGATCTTCTATACACACTTATTCAAAGACAAATAAATATTATATTCAAAGAAACAAGCATTGCTATACTCACGTCATGACCTTGGCTTAATCAATGAAGTCGTCTTCCGACATGGTGCCTTCCTTCATCATCTTGACGGCGGTGTCTGTGCGGCCACACCCAGCTCATCTAGGAGAACCAGCTGGCGGGTCTATCTCGCATTTGTTATAATAAACAGTGGATATACTCACGTCATGACCTTAGCTTCATCAATGAAGTCGTCCTCCGACATGGTGCCCTCCTTCATCATCTTGACGGCGGTGTCTGTGCGGCCGCGCCAGCGCCCGCGCCGGACCACGCCAAACTGGCCTGCGCCTAACTCCTCTAGGAGGACCAGCTCTGATGGGTCTATCTCCCATTTGTCTGTAAATATAGAAGGTAAATTTAACGCGTGTGTAATAAAAAACAAATGACTGCGCGTGTCATATAACCTGTCAGAAGTCATGTGATCTGTTTAGTACGAATGCGCTATCCGCTATGTGTCTGCGCACATTATAGGGATGGCACAGTAAGGGATTTTTAGGTGACGAATAATAATGTTCCTTATAGTTTTAACGCAACGGTTGAAATTGCAATGTTAATTAAATTAGCAAGCCACGAGAATCACGGATGCTTAGGAATACCGAAGCGGCAGCTTTCGAGATGTGTCCTAAACCGCACGAGCGTATTCGTGACACATTTCGGCAGGATGCCGCAACATAATTTTGCTGTAGGTGTTCGTGTGCATATAAAGATGCCTAAGGATGCCACCCGATAATGTGCGAGTTTTTGAACCATTGACATTCTTAGCTAATATGCTCTTATCCACAAGGTGGACCGACGACCTACCGACAGACGACCTCATAAAGGTAAGAAATTATTAGGGGAGGCCTGTTGCTGAAATAATGATTTTTTTTTATGCAAGACAAGGCATGTATTTGACCGCAATCGCACCTGGTGTTAAGTGGGATTGCAGTCTAGGATGGTACATATCTGTCCTGTAAGCTCACTCTCGCCTTGAAAAGGTCCGGATTAAAGTGTTCAGGAAAGACAGCAGCAGGCAGCGATGATGATTATGAAGCTCTTACCATGCGATATGCCCAGCCGCTACCAACCGGGCGACATAGAAATCATTAGGGGAGGCCTATGTTCAGCAGTGGACGTTCTGTGGCTGAAATGATGATGATGCGCTTACCATGCGAGAGGCCAGCTGTGGGCGGCGCGGGTCGGTCGCAGGGCGTGGTCTTGAGCCGCGAGCACAGCCCGCCGCTGTTATGCTTGTGATAGTTGATGAGCTCCGGTATGCTGGGGCAGCAGTGCTTGTCAGAGAGATAGAACTCGCCGCGACTGTTCTGTTTTATATGGTAGTGTTTTGTTTGCGGGTGGTTACTGGAAGAGAAAATGATGACATGAAGTGTGTGTGGAAAAACCGCATCCAAATTGGATCACCCGTTTAAGACTTACAGTATAACCAGGGGCTCCCAAAGTGGGGGCGCGGGTTATCTGTGTTAAAGTTAAGTATTAAATAACCTGCGACCTCTGAGAGAATGCACTCCATACGACCAAAAAATAATGGATAAGGATGGGGAATTCTGGACCAAAGAATAAGGATGGGGAGCGCGATTTTTTTTAGGGGCGCTTCTCCAATAATTTAGGAACTCCTGGTATAAACAAACATTCAGACATCTTACACATAAATATGAATGCTTATTAATTTACGAATTGTTTGGTTAAACAAAAATTTGATTATTAGAAATTGGTGCAGATAAACTCGTCTTTGGCTAAGAAGTCGTTATTCGGTTCCAGTTTTATTGTTGTTGTGCAACATAATATTATGTTGATTAATTGACCATTAGCAATTTGCGCATTACCATAATTTTATTATGGTCTATATTGATGTTCTCTATCGGTATTGGTGATCTGGTTCGGAAAGAAGTGCCATGATACGTGATACTTACACTTTGGTATATAGCGAGAGCGTGTACATGCCCTTAGTGGAGGAATTGCGGACTACGAAACAACCCTCCTTGTCCTCTTGTTTCAGTAGAGATTCCGCTCTCTGGCGAGACATTTCGCCCACGTACCACCTGCGAGACACAAAACAATAAAAAACTAGCTTTTACCCGCGGCTTTTACCACGTGAATATGGTTCTGTCTTCCTTTCAAAACCTATCCTGTGTTTTCCTTGGGTCTCAAACTATCTCTACACCTCATCTTAATTGGTTAAGAGGTTTAATTGTGAAAGAATTCCCAAACATCTATCTATCCTCTCAAAACTGGATAAAAACTATATTATGTTTCCCTATATCCTCCAGTCCCAAACTATATCTTTACTAAATTACTCGATCAGTTCAGGTTTAACCATGTAAAATTAACAGACAGGCAAAGTTACTTTCGCGTTTATAAAATTAGTAAGGAGCTATTACTAAATTAATTACCAATTATAGCCTGACCAGGAACATAAAAACCCTCGCCATGTTGCGGAAAACTAATGGTACTAATTTCTTTTAATGGCAACAGTAACTGAAAACTTAATTGACATGTCACCTTGCATGTCAGTCTATTGCTGTCAAAGTGTAAACAAACTTTATTTTAAATGTACTCTACAATTTTGTGAATTAAATTGCTAAAATCATTTTATAGTCGTGAAAGAAAAGTGGTTCACAATGTGTTAAAGTATTTGACGAAGAGAAATACTAAGGGTTCGGACAATATTTTCATTGAATAATGTTTCCGACAAAGGTTGTCAAATTGACTGACATGTGTATCGTATAGTACAGTCCACTATGAAAATTAGCTGTGGTTTGTTTCAACTAACTATTTTGAAATTTTTTGTCACTTTNACAAAAAGAAGTGAAATCCCACCAAAAACATTCTGTAAAAAACTAGCCAAGTCTCGATGGAGCTGCTTGTTTATCTCTAAAAAGTAATGAAATCTAGACAAAGTCGTGCCAAGTCTATGGTTCCTTACTGCGATTTATTTATTAATATAGTTAATGTTGTGTGACTTGGCCGTTGAACAATCTTTATTAAGATAATCATACATAAGTATGATTGAAATACGCAGTTTTATTAAACCTACAATTGACTGGTTGTTCTTGAACCAACGTTTTCCAAGTGGCAATTTTCCATCGTCAATGGGTAGCGGTTCTGGCAACAGATTGGTGCAATGGTGTCACGGAGCACCTGGTTTTGTACCCTGCAACGGCCAAGTCACACAACATTAACTATAATAATAAAGAAATCGCAGTAAGGAACCATAGACTTGGCACGACTTTGTCTAGATTTCATTACTTTTTAGAGATAAACAAGCAGCTCCATCGAGACTTGGCTAGTTTTTTACAGAATGTTTTTGGTGGGATTTAGATTTCCCTATCTAGACTTTATTATAATCATGAATGAACAAAACTATTGTTAATATTACAGTGTGATTTACGCATAACAATGTGGTAAAATTGAAAAGTAGGTTTTGATAAAATAAAAATTGTAGCGAGTGAATGAACATTTAGGACTAATGAAATAAGTTACTGTAATGTTTCGATACAAAAGGATCTCTATTTCTCAATTTAATTAAAATAAGCAATAAAGTGAAAGTTTTTCTTACCCGTGTTCGTCTTTTACTTTCCACCAATGTTCCTGGGAGTCGTCAATTACTTCATACTCAGCGCCCTAAAAAGATTGCAATAATTTAATTTTTTTTTTCGAAGTTATAACGTCTTCAGAGCATCAAAAGCTTGTTTTTAAAGTTTTTTTTCTTTTTAATTTTTGTCATGATTCATAAATATAAAAAAATACTTGAAAATGGTTTTTGATTTGGTATTATGAAACAACTGATTCAATACAAACATACCTTTTCTAATGATAGGTCGCCGCTTTCTATGGCTTTGAATGGGTACAGCGCTACCACAACTTTGGTTCTTTGCTTCTCCTGAAAAAATAAAAAATATAAACTGTATTATGTTTTATGAGCTCGCATAGAGGTTCAGTGAAATGAAGTAATGTCGTGATAAAATTAAAAACGGTCGATTATGATTAAATTCGTGATTTCTTTGTGTAGTGTGTGATATGGTTATGGTAGTGTAATAAAATAAATTAAAAAATGAATAGCTACCTTTGAATTTACCTTTGGCTTGGCCGACGGAGTGCCGGGAGGGGCGCCGCCGCCTCCTGGCATTGTGACCGCCGCCGTGACAGCTATAGATAAAACAAATAATTGTAAATAATCAGGATTACTTTGGATCCTCGTCATCATCAACGTCAAGGCATTTAGTCCACTGCCAACGACTCTAACTTACTAGAGGCAAATGGAAGATGGGAGGATGGTGGATGGACTTTAGTCCTTGAGATGACTTGAATTCTATTCATTACTGCACTTACGATCTTAGTCAGATAATTAATAATTAATGACATCGCTACTAACACTCAACTGAATTTCTGAAGGGCAAAGATCTTAAAATATTTTAACAAATACAACAACCGTTTGAACTGTTCTTGCAGAGTCAAACACATGTAAAGCAATTCAGATATTTTGGGTTTTGGATTTATGGAGATGACAATGTTCATCACCTCACAGTTAAATGTGGACATGGCATTAAAATGTACTTGAGTAAAACCACATTGCATTTTTGAACAATACTTCTCAAGGACTTTAACAAATAAACAAAAATGCATTTTACAGTTGTAAGTGCAAAAAAAATACATTTTATGAGGAACCGATAAATTCCCGTAATAATATTCATCTTTGAATAGGCAAAAATAATAGTTAGGGTGTGGATATTTACCATCTTTTCCTAATATTAACAAACACATTTTGAGAAACAAAATATTGGAACGTCAATAAAGACCATTTTTGGAAGTATACTTTTATTCTCATTTAAATGTAGAGCAGTTTTCAAATGTAAATGTAACTTAATATACATAATTCAATAATGTGCATGCTCTAAGTCCGCTAATTTACAAGGTTCTTGTATCGGAAAACACTTTTATCTCTTTGAACATTGGTTGACATTATACCTCGACCTTGTTCTTTAATTTCTTATTCTTATTTTAGTGGTAAATGTGATTTATGTGGTCAACCTTCATTACGCGGCCAGCTTAGTTACAAAAAATCTGATGATATTTTAATGTTAATTTCAAAAAACTTGCTCCAATTAAAATTAATTTTAATAGTTCTAATAAGTAGCTGATTAAAGAAATCTACAAAGTTATTGAGCGAAATCCCAAAACACATTCTATAAACTAGGTAAATTGTAAAAAGTGAAAATTATGAAAACTTATTAATGACTTTGAGTTAACGAACACTTGAACTCATCGCTCATCATCACATAATGACGAAATGATTGCCTACTATGGAATAACAAAAATGTTCTTTAATAATGATGTTGATTGAAGTCATGGTGTAAAAAACAATACAAAAACACATTTTGAATGTAAGTATATCCATTGGTGCTATGAATTAGTAATGTGGCGCATCAGTAACAAACAAAACAAAAACATGTTATTGTCTATGAGAAGTACAACCAGCCATGTCGAACTAAACACAGGTTAAGGGTTATACTTAGACATCACTTGTGAACAAAACACTGCACAAAATCACTCGCTGACATTACACAAACGCATTACACGACACCTGAGCAAGGAAAGTTGCAGTGAGACGAGTGAACGCAACCGGTAGCGGCGAGGCCACAAATAGAGGTCACCAGAAAAGTGCCATACCCTCTAATGCCGGGAGGAATGATGATAGAGACAGGCATGGTATCTTAGACTTCTTCTTGGTGACCATGGGTTCGTCTTCGGACTTGGTCTGCAACATGGAAACGGTAAATCGGCGGACGTTCGCGCGCGACACCTGGCTGCGACTGCCGAGTAACGTGTCAATGTACCGCTCTCGAGATAAGCCACATTCACAGTAGAGCCTCCGCGGCCCCGCGCTGCCTAGCTCAAGAGAACTACTCAAGTTTTTTGCTGCACTTTTTCGAATGCAATCTCAGATGCTCGACAAAGATGATTACAAATAATTCGGGCAGGTGAAATCGGATGCGATAAAAAGTTATTGAGATGTTTGATGTTCGAAGCGGAATTGATTACGTTGAAGAAAAATTATACAAAAAATATCCCTTAGATTGGAATACCGTCACGCAATAAAGTTGAATAGATTTGGACTCTATCCTAAAAGTAAATATTTACAGTTACTCAGGGATGTCACTGGATAACAAATCTATCTCTCGAAAAATTCCAACGCAAACTATAATTTTTAATTACAATAATAATAATAATAAAATCATAAATGGCTAAATTCAAAATTTTACATTCATAACAATAAACATATTATTATAGTTATTTTAAAAAACCCTCTCCCTAGTCTCACATCGATATCTTAATTCAATTCAAAACCTACAATGCAGCTTTAATAGATTTAATGCATCTTTTTTTGTTTCCATGGAGGACAAGTCTTTATACTTGTCGAGACGAGGTAGCGAGGGCTTCAAAGATGGTCGCGGCCTACATTCACCATTCGACGCGCGCGCGCAGGCGGCTCGCGGTCTCGCTTTCACCTGTCCACCAAATATCGGGTGCGAGAGGGACGAGTGATTCACGTCACTAACGACAAATCGACTTGCTTGTATAGAACGTATGCTGCCTTCCGCGGAAACCTATCGCTGTCAAACCAGACACCGAAGCGTTTATTTTTTCTTGTCTCGTTTTTATTGTTATGCGTATAGCATATCCAGGAAATGTAGAGACAGGATAAAGTTCTGTTGCCGTTTGATCGAGGATTCAATACGAGGAAACATTGAATTGTCAATCTTTGTTATATTTGTATTATTATTATTAATATAGACAATTTAATTTTAGGTAATTATATGAAATAGTAGGATGAAAATATAAATTGAAACAGGAATAATTCTTTAATCGCTAGCGAAATAAAGTTCTTTAATATTAGATTCGTATCACAATATTATGTTGAATATTAACTGCGTTTATTAGCATTTATTATTACTTATCAGTAGTCCTGAATTTATTGTCCTGAATTCAAACGAATAAAATTAGGAATACATGTAATAAATAATTATGTACTTATATTGAAACGAGCTTACTTAACCGCCTTATTGAAACACTGTATTATAGGGCTCGAGCCATGAGAAAATCAATAATCTACATAAGTTTCAGCTTCATAATGTACCTACCTCGCAAGATCAAGAACTCGAAGCGAAGGTAAACTTGCCCCAGGACTTTCTCAACAGCCTTAAGTAGTAAGCTCTTAGCAAACTTTGCAAGTCCCGGCGAACTAACCTTTTAGTTATCATAAACTCGCGACAGAATTAAAAGTTACATTTACTGAAGTGTCCCATTTTCCGAATAATATAAACGCCTCAGCAATACTTGATTATAATAATAAAACATTTTCTCCAACCTTGTAGAAACGTGCTGTCTAAGACAGCGCCTGTGAAAGATACAGAGAAATTGTATTTCTACGAATTACCGAGATAATAAAACGAGTAGGCGTGTGACCCTGATGTAGGCTGTAGACTTAGAGATGCTTGCCTAATCAATTCTAAAAAGCAAGAAAACTAAGGTTATGAGTTTTCCTTATGCCAAAGATCACTAACGCGCGTAGTCACAAACATTACTGTGAGGTCTCACAGTGCGCGTAAACGCACAGGGTGAACCAATCACAGAGCTCTATTCAACGCTGTGCGTTCAATTTGCCGCTTTACATAAGCAAACATTGTTTGTGAATACGGGCATAAGAAACTATAGCTGGGAATTTTTTTTTTACATTTTGCTCTGTACTACTGTACTGCTCTACCTATGATTAGTTCGAAGACAAATTTAATGGACAGATTTATTCAATAGATATAGGTACGGGATGTCAGTGGCCACATACGGACACGACCCGCATTCCTTTAATGATTTTAGCGAGGACTGGTCATGTGGTAAATATGTTTGATAGGAAAACCGTAAATATATTTTGAGTTCGACTCTCGAACAAATACGATTACATTGCATAACACGGTGGCAAATTTTACGAGAAGGTAAAGGTGAAGCATTTTTGTCCTCCTGGACCAGCAGTTCTATCTGTGACTTGGATTAGATCAGTCGTCGACGAGCTGGCAACCTTGCCCTCTTAATCAATTTCAGAACCTGTTGACCTGCACTACTCAGCGAATTAGCACTTACCTACACATAACACCGCGCCGTTGAGGGACTTGTTCTTCTGCACCAGCAGTTCTATCTGTGGTTCGGATAAGCTAGTCATCGACGAGCTGGCAACATTGCCCTCTTCATCAAATGATGAACTTGTTGGCCTGGCAGGTTTAACGATTTATTACTCACATGTAACGTCGTCGGGGCTTCTTCTCCTGCACCAGCATGCAGTTCGATCTGCGGCTCGGGCAAGGGCCAGTCAGCGGCGAGCTGGCAACCTTGCACTCTCCGTCAAACCATGAACCTGCTGTTAGCCAAAGGTAATCTATGTGTCACTTACATGTAGCGTCGTTAAGGGGCTTCTTCTCCTGCACCAGCAGTTCGATCTGCGGCTCGGGCAGGGGCCAGTCGGCGGCGAGCTGGCAACCTTGCCCTCTCCATCAAACCTATTGACCTAGCTAAAGTTGAGCGCTGTTGGACTTACATGTAACGTCGTTGAGCGGCTTCTTCTCCTGCACCAACAGTTCTATCTGCGGCTCGGGCAGGGGCCAGTCGGCGGCGAGCTGGCAACCCTGCACTCTCCGTCAAACCATGAACCTGCTGTTAGCCAAAGGTAATCTATGTGTCACTTACATGTAACGTCGTTAAGGGGCTTCTTCTCCTGCACCAGCAGTTCGATCTGCGGCTCGGGCAGGGGCCAGTCGGCGGCGAGCTGGCAGCCCGGCGCGGACCGGCGCTCCGCGTCACAACACGCCCAGCGCCGAGCGCACCACGCGCCCGGGTGGTATCGCGACCGCCGCACTTTGTACACGCACACTGTGTGACAGAAACACAGCTGTAACTGCTGGTAAAGCCTGGTCCACACTCACTGCGGGCGCCCGTCGCACAGTCGCGACAGCAATATAATTACGCGCGAGTGATAAGGATGGGTAGCTTGGGGTCATTGGACAAAATTCTATGTGCTCACGGACCAGGCTTTAACCTTAAGAAAAATGGGTGATTCTCTGAACACCCCGATCGTAGAATAACCGAAGGGTCAACGGGGGCTTCAAGGATCGGAGTACGCAGGAAATGATATACATACAAGAAAACAAGGTGTTATGCCTTTGGCACACAGCAGCCGGCGCGACAGCAGCACTTTTTTTGTACAACTTGACCCGTAACGTATGAAAATGTTAAAAAAGTTTGTGCGTAGGTATGTATTATCGTGGATTCGGAGGCAACGGATGTTAAATTGAAATGCATGAAAAATTTAAATGTACCGCCATGATCGCGTCAGCTGTGTGGTAGGCCAAAGGTTTAAGACTGGTTACTAAAAATGGAAGTATTTTATGACAGAGCTATTAAGTAGTCATTAAAAATTGGACATTGGACCCTAAATATGACGTACCAATTAAGCCAAAACTTTTTCTAAATATCACCGGGCAATGGTCGACAATACCAGCTTGCCAATTAATTAGCAATCTGTTTCCAGTTTATAGGTTAATTGTTACAACCGTCAACAAGCTACTACCTACCTATATCTGAGGTTAACGTGTATAGCAAGGGCAAATACCGAATGCACATAAAAAAACACATGTGTGATTCCTAGAATAGATATCATTTAGACCGGTGGAGTCCAAAAATGTACTCATATTTAAAATGTTTGTTTATGCACTTGAAAACTAAAGACCGGTTTTTAATCTGCTCTACCTTATTTGATCGCCTGTTACCTAACAACAAAATTGCAATACATTTTATTATTTTTATTACGATTAATGAACTAGATCTTGAGAGTTGAGACTGGCTAGACCCCACTACTAGACGTGATCCCAACTAAATAAGTCTTTCAATAAATCCCATCAGCGGTTGATACGGCGTAGTTGTCTGACATCTTGACATCAGTCTTACTTTAACACCACATTTTACATCAAAGATTTTCAGTACCTATTTTCATACAAGGGCCAATAACGATAAAGCAACAAAAAATGCGTTCTATCGCTTATGTGGTTAGGAGATCTACGTCCTTGTACAAATACGAGTACTATGTTAGTAGTGCAGTAAGTCACGCGAATATTCAAATGTTCGTTAGGTGTAACACGCGATTTTAAGATGAACTCACGAAAATAGTATGTAAAGTCGATAACACGTTAACGTAAGCACTGTAATATCATATAGTTGCAATAGGAGCAATTTTAACTAATACAAGATTTTTTTTCAGTAAATCATTTTTTTTCAGGTAAGTTGTTCCCGTGAAAAAAATATGTTTTGAATTTTCAGCGTAAGTTACAAGTACTACATAATTGTGTAATTTACATGGTACCGTTTGAAAGTCTGATTGTTCTACATTATTTAATATTTTTTTTATTCAAGATCAAAAAAACAATAAATCTGATAATAGTATGTTCTTCACATCAACATAATAGCGTTTGCAAAATGGAAATATTAATACGTTTATGTTAATTGTGCCATTAATGTGCAATACTGGTTGATCTGCACTTTGCATTCAATGAAACTAATGTTTTTATAACTTGTTTTCTGATATTTAATGAACATATCAATTATGTCGTCTTATAGTTTATTGCATTTGCAAAAACTTGAAGAGCTCTATCAATCACGCTGTCAAGTTCTACATACCTATTAAAGAGGATTTTGAAGGGATAATAACATAAAGGCAAAAATCTTAAAAGTTACGGTCTGGTAAAACGTTCTTAGAAAATTTTTCTTGACTGTTAGAGGTACTTTGAAGGTCATTTATGGACTTACTAGCTTTCCGCCCGCGGCTTTGCCCGCGTGGAATTTTGTCTGTCACAGAAAAACTTTATCGCGCGCGTCCCTGTTTCAAAAACCGGGATAAAAACTATCCTATGTTCTTTCCCGGGACTCAAACTATCTCTATGCCAAATTTCATCAAAATCGGTTGCGAGGTTTAAGCGGGAAAGCGTAACAGACAGACAGACAGACAGACAGACAGACAGANCCTTAGGCAGTTCGATTTTTTCAAGTTATTTATAATTTTCAAATTAGTTTGAGATGCGACTCTTAACGCTAAAAATTTAATAACTATATTATGTGTCATAATTTATAAATAAAACAATTTGCTAAATATTTTCATGGCTTTATTTAAGATTTGGATTATAAAAAATATATATTTATGTGAGCAACTACTCGTATAGATTGACGAATCGTATGTTTGGGCTTTATACGTGGCGTAGTTTTGCACATACGCCTATTTGCCTAAAATTTTATTTTGTATCTAATGGAAAAAAAATTTTTTTTTCTTACTGACGTTATAGATTAGAGCAAAATGAAATCATTGCTTAAATAATTGGAAAAAGGCGTAAGCGGCAGTTTCGCCTTTATACGTAGGAGCCATCGCTATGGGGCCACTGGCATTCCAGCTCTATCGTCCGATCGACTCCATGTCATCACAATATTGCATTGTCATCCGAATTACATGTATATCCAAATTTTTAACTCAATCAGCTGTTGAAGGATTTCTAATAAAAAGATGAGATTAAACACATTTTCAGTTTATTCTTCGTAAGTGACACAAAGAGAATGACAATAGACAAAAGAAGAAACATTTGCTTTTTTAAACCATAGACAATACTACTATGTGTTCCAATACCTACAGTTGTCGTCAGGAAGTTGGTCTAACAAATTCAGCTTGCAAGATTCCACCCGAAGTTACCTACATATTACATGTTCAAATTTCGAGAACGGCTGAACCGACAAAAACATTAGAAAATTTACGAAAAAAAAAAATAAAAAAAATNTATAAGATAAGTATGTTAACGTCAGAAGTCGTTATTAGTAACTTTAAGAAACATAAAAAAATAGAAGATGACACAAAAACTATGTCATGGAAAAATACTCACCACTCCTTATGGCGTGAATCCAATGTAGGCGCACTGAGTGGTCTCCAACTATAAGGTACAAGGTGTAGTCTGTGTTCTGCTCAGAGTAGCCCACCTGCGCACAATCTGTCATATGAACACGCACATTCACACTGATTGAATAAATCGCGAGTAATTGTGTATAAAAATACAAAAATCAACCGTGAAGTACGGGTAATTGTTTCGTTTCGGAGATTTTTCTAGTTAAGGGTTTATGTAATTACGTGATTCTGTGTGTGGAAAATGTAAATATAGTGCTTAGATTAATAAAGTCTAGATGGATGGTCGTCGTCAAGCGGTTCCTCTAACTAAAGTGAGGCAAAAATCAGAGTGCCTAAGTACTGATCAACGCGCGAGTTTAGCTTTTTGTACTAAGGGGGACATGACTTTGTCAAATGTCAGGACAGATGGAAAAANTAGTCGTCATCAAGCGGTTCTTCAACTAAAGTGAGGTCAAAATCAGAGTGCCTAAAGTAGTGATCAACGCGAGTTGAACTTTTTGTACTAAGGGGGACATGACTTTGTCAAATATCAGGACGAATGGAAAAAACTAGCCCTGGGTTTCAGCATATTACTTTAACCTTGACAAACGTCAAGTCTGTCAAACTCTACACAACAACACTGACTATAGCAGTTATAGTTACGGATAAAGTTAATTTAATGCAACTCAGCCTAAGCCAGTTGGTATAATTTGAAGTGCCTACTGTTCTTTCACCATCACCATCCATCTAGGCTTTATTAATCTAAGGTAATATTAATTTTTAAAAAATGTTTAATTACCTGAAAAGGGTATCTATAAGCTGAGTTGTCTCCGATGCCGTCGGGCAGCTGTTTGCTCAGCTCGCCGAGTTGCGCCTGCTCCACCGTATGGATCGCGTCCGTTGCGATGCGCCCGCGCTCTCTGCGCCTCTACAAAACACTTAGCCAATTACACCTCGTTGTAACTGCAATTTTGTTTAGCTGACATTTTAACTCCCCTCCCCTGTTCTCATCAAATTGTTTGTGCTATATGGGAAGTCTCTAATGTGCATAATGCATATCTATTTATACGACGATTATAATTATCTTATGATTATTCAAAAATATCGCACTTAATCGAATCGCTGCGATATCCATCAATTAATTGAAACTAAATAGATTTACGTAAACGATAAAGTAATTTTATTTAAAGATAAAATAACAAACAAAAGTTCGTGGGCTCAAGTTCTCCAAGAATCAGGTGATTTTTTTTTCAAGTCAAAACACGTTCAAAACCTTTTGGAATGACCTAAAGTAAGATACAAGATATTAAAACTTAGTCTGAGGCAAACATTTCAAATTCTATTGGTCCTCTTAAAACTTTCCAGACACGGTAAGAAATAGAAAAGATCTTTCCCCAAATGTATTGAATGGAAAATTCCAAAATGTTTCGTTACGCTTCCAAAAACTGTATCGTTTAAATTAGGTACTGTATGTAAATGGGCACATGAAAATTGCAACCATCAGAGTAACAAAATTAAAACCAACAGAATTCTGTTCTACTAATAACGCCAGGTAATTATTCTCCTAGAGCCGCAAAGCCAGGCGAGTAATTAATCATCACAGTGGAAACAAAAAGTATCCTTAGTTCACGCTACAATTCCCGCAAATTGAATTCCGAGGCTGGAGTCAGCTCCCGAACATTTTGCAGATGCAGTCCCACAGTTCGAGTGCGCTGATGCATAAAAACCATTTAACGCTATTTAGGTCAAACGACGTACCTATTCTGATAGAACTTGGCACATTTTTAAAGTACCTCTATAAAAAGGTACCATTTTAACAAGCAATTTATCGTCGGGATGGAAATTCTTTTAGACTGCAAGGCATTAAATAAAAAAAACGGGACTATTCCCACCTCTCGTTCCCACCACTGCAACTCCTGTGTAGCCAGGATCTACAGCTTGACCGCCACAAAAACCCAACCAATGAAGGTCAAGTTTGTCCCGGGGGAAAGTTAAACTGTCATTGGACCCGCAACGAAATTAATCAGAAGAACATAGGAGGAGTTCGAAATTAAGGTTCGACTTCCCTCCATTGCAAAGCGGATGACAGGTGACAAACAAAGGTTAAATAGTCAATAGCAATACATTTAGATACACATAGTTAAACGGCGCTACTAATGGATTAGGCACTCGCAAATTATTCGGCAATAAAGATGATTATGTAAATTGAGACATTATTATTACTGAATCTGTCTCCGTTGTTAATTGTTATGTGTACGAAGCTAAACAACACCTAAATAGAATTAAGTTCCCTTTAAATTAACGTGTCTTCCATAGAGTACTTCTGAAACGATGTATAAAATAGAGACATGTAGAGTTAGGTTGGAAACCGTTTGATTGCGTCGACGTACAAACGAAGAGACTCAAATTGTGAATCCAACTTTAATTAAGATAAAGAGTTTACCTCATCGCACCGAACCTTTGAGAGAGCATCAAATCTTCTTAAGAGGTTTACTTACGTAACCACTCCGACCGAAATTGATTTTAGGAATATTCATTAGCGCGCAAAAGCCTGAAAAATATCTCTTTTTCATATCTAATAGCGAAAATCATTAGTAACAAGAATAAATGGTTGTTTAACCATGAAGAGTATTTCTTTTTCCATTAAAAACGAATTGCGCCTGAAAGATGTCAATCACAGAAGTGATGATAAAAATATAAAAGAAGGGCTCTATATTTTCAATTATACTCATTAAAGGATGGTAAATACGATATTCCTAAAATCGGAGAAACACCTTAACTGTTCGCGGACTAGGCCAACGCAAGATTCGATTCCGCAGGGTGCAAATACCTGCGTACTCTATGGAATCGAGAAAGTATACCCGAAGTGATGGATATGGTAGGTACACAGTTTACTTATGTTTATCCGTAAACTAGACCCTGGTCCGGTCGTACTACAAGTTATGCTTAGTTTAAGGCTTTAGTTGCTTTAGACTTAAGTGTGTGAAAGTTTAAAGAAAATTAATTAAACTGATCGAGAAAATAATAAGCAATTTAATAAATGAAATGCTAATATGGTAACACGATATCACTGTACTACATAATCTGTCGTTTGACATGTTTCGATAAGAGGAACGGATACTTGGCCAAGCGCCAACAGTAAATATGTTCAGCCATACGACACCAATTACGGACATAAGTGCTATTATCACCAAACATTAACGTGATACCGTAGGCTTTAGACGCGCCGGTTTTCGCTACCGAATGATCTATCACATTAGTATCTAATTAGTAAGTTACAAAAGAAGTAGACCACACAATGTTAGGAAGCACTAGTTTAACCTATAATAGCAAAAATGAAGAATGAAGTCTATCCAGACTGACTGAATGAATACATCTAACTGCATGTCTCTACCATGTCAGGATTTTTTCCAATACAATCATCTCCCGTCAGAATCGTGTTTTTCAATTTAACTGTTTATTCGATGTTAATGAGAAACTTTCGGCTTCTCCTTATTAATATAGACTATACAACTTTGAAGTAAATGTAATTAGTGTCGATTGGTTTGGTAATAATTAATCTTTATACTCGTGCCTACCTAACTAACGTCTAGGCGCGTGACTTTGGCGGAATTCAGAGGTGAGGTGGAAATGTGAAACAATATCCCTTATCTGGCCATAAATAAAAGAAGAAAAAGTAGAATAGGACTAGGGACTTGGTATTTGTATCCTCAGTCGTTATGACTTCCATAGGCGGGTAAAAAAATGGCTGAAACAACAGCGGATAACCAAGAGTCGCGGGCGGAGTGCGCCTTTTTCAAACAATTACCACACGTAGCGTAGAGAGCTCTCCATTAAAATTGCTCACATAACAAGGGGCCACACGAAGGCATGACTACACATACATTAGAGCGAGGGTTGCTCGCCCTCTATTGTTCGAGTGATTGCGGAGGGTACAATACGAGATGCCGGAATATTTTATTTTGTTGTTTCAACAGCTCTACACTTTCATGTGGATAGTTTATAATTTTCACTAAGTGTGAGCACTGTTTTTATTTTTATTTATTGGTGTTAATATCATAGTAACAGTTTTTGCTAACGGTGATAAGTCGCTGATATTTTTAACTTTACCGAAAATAAAAACAAAAGATTTAAGAGCGACGAAAGATTTATGGATAGATTTTCTCGTCTATTAATTTCTTAGAACGATCACTAATAAGTCACAATAAAATGTTCCGATAAATGTATTGTTGCATTAAAAATCCTAAATAACGAGTTACGACGATTTCGAGCCAGTCGAATAATAAATAAATCATTCACAACGATTTACGAAAACGGATCAATCAGAAACTCAAATACCGAATCCATTTGAGACCTCATCCATAGTCGTTTTGCGTAGGTGGTGACTGAAAATGGAAGACGCACGTAGTGTTCGAGTTCGATGCCTTGTAGAGGCGAAAATGAAGAGTTGGTGGGTAAGGTGAGTGCGGGTTTGGTTGAGAGGAATGCGATTGTTGTGGGTGAGATTTTAAGTGATAAAAGTATGATTGGTTTGTAATTACCAGTGGTGATGCGAGGTGCGAAGGGTCGGCGGCCGGCGGCGGTGCGGAACTGGCGCCGCCGGGCGCGCCGCGCGGCAGACACACCCTGCTCGCGCATGCGCGCCCACCCTCGCATCACCCCCTAGCCCCTACATTAATCAAGTACGAACGTCTAACGTTTCTTGTTAGCCCAGGCACAGCCCTCGTACGCCACCTAGATGTTATCTCACAGGTGGAGATAAGAAAAATGCAAGTCATCGATCTGTATTGATCAAAGGACGTCGCTCCCCTAAAAACCGACACTTTCAATGGCGTGCAGCTTCTTATTATTTTGTGGTGTCAACTGATGATGAGCGATCACCAATACTCATTCATTGACATCCGCAAAACTAGAACATTATGCTGATTATTAAACCAAACCCTAAAGCTATTTGTTCGTTAGGATGGTTTCGAAACGATTCTTTATTATAACGACAGAAAATTATTTAGGAGATGCTTTTACAAACCTCAAATAGTAGTTTATCGAATCATCCAATATTTTTCAAGAAAGAGTCCTACAAACCATGAGTCATGAATGAATGACGCACGTCATGGGAACTAAGTAGCAGGACCACTTTCGAAGGAGCGAGATATCTACTTTGAATTTACAATTATTCCACTTGGTTGAACAGGCGGACAATTACCACGCCATAATTCTATTGTGTTTTTGAACAGGACGTTTGTGGGACCTCTGATAAATAAGTAGCTTTTAAATTCGATAAAGTTTCCGATAGATAAGCGACATAAAAATGCGATTAACAATTAACATCAACTTAGTCTGGGATTCTAAAAACTAGTAAAGAAACTTTTAACATGACACAAATGAAAGCTAAAACTGATTCAGATTTAGGTAATTCTTCGATTTTAGAATTATTTCAATCAACGAAGAATACGCGAATTACTCGCAAATAACAAAATAGCAGTATTTTACACATAATTAGACTAAAAGAATGGTTTCATGGTTTTAGTATAATCTACATATCAATTAAATGAATCTCACTCTCGAATATCATTTTAATGTATGTTTGTCACCTTAACGTGCCCTCAAATATGCCGTTAAAGAAAGCGTGAGTAATTTTTATTATTTACAGTCGTGTAGATAAGTTACGCGTCGCATCAAATGTTTTCGTCGCTGTAGTCTGATTCTTTACTTTTAAAAACTGTCATTTTGCATACTGGGATGCTCCAAAAAAAGGTATAGGACAAAACACTTACCTTTTATATAATTATTACTGTTGCTCCTTGATAGCATGCAAATATACAATACAAAATGAGAATACCAAATTAATTTTCCTATTGATAGTAGGTAGGTACCTATTGTAGATCTAATGAGTCTTTCCTTTTATGTGGGCAATTATAAGCAAATATGGCCTTCAGTTATTGTCAAAGAATATCCTAGGATCAAGTTCAAGGGGATAAAGGGGCAAATATTTATTGTATGAGATAAATAAATGGGAAAACCATCTATTAATAACATCATAATAAATTATAATATAATTACATGTACAAGCATCAAATTTATCAAGAATTTTTAAAAATGTGTTTTCCCCATATTTATTTTATTCATTTTATTCAATAAAATAAAACTACAATCAGTAAATCATTTCAAAATAATGTTTACATTATTATTTGATCAGGCCAAACTTTTGTTCATGATGAGACATAAAAATTGTAAGTATGTCTCTCATAAATTGGAAGATAAGACAATCTCATAAGATCAAACCAGTTGCATTGAAAATAATATTTCATTGAAAGAAGTTGAAAATTTTGAATGGTTGAAAATAACATGGTCATCATGTGACTATTTCAAAAGGTGTAGCCCTTACAGACATTTCTTTATCATTGTGATCTATAGATCCATCACCTTCTTCGATTTTATTTAACTTCATGCTCTGAATGATTGAGTCTGATGTTGAATCAGCGGTGCACAGTAAAACCGAAACTGGTTTTTGTGACACCGTCAATAGTTATCATTAATATTTGGAAATGCTATGTAACTTGTTTTAAATAAATAAATAAAATAAATAAATAATAAACCTATAAAAATTCTATAAAGAATCTATCAATGTTGATCCTCAACAACTCAACTGCTGCGTTATTAGAAAGAAACTACAGATTTGATCCAACAAACTTAAATAACATGCATGAATGAATGTTATTTAAGTTTTTAACTTGGTAAATAATTATTTAAAGTAAGCATGACTAGGGGCTAATGAGGAAACTTACAAGATACAATATCAGACTATCTTGCATAAACGGTAACAAATAATATTAGACTAACTGAAGCGAGTAACTGAAATATAGGTAATTTTATACTAGGCAATATTTTTATGCCATTGAGGATGTTCAGAAATGAAATCATCCGTTATTATGTTCTTAAATCTGCGGCAAAATTATTGACTTTGGGGTGGAGGCCTAGTAAACCTTGTAAGTTCTTTGTTAATAAAAAAAATATATTTCTCTGCCTCCAGACATACTTTCTGTGCTGCCTCCTTGCAAAAAAGGTTAGGTCAAAGAACTTTTTAATAAATATATAATGAATCTACTTACTTCACTATCAGAGTCATAGTAGATAAGTGAACGACGTCTTAGCACCACCCAGCGCTCCTTAAAATTTACAGGAGTAAACAACTTTTTGTTTTGTGATCTTTTCACCATAAAAGCTTGCAAAATTACATTGTCTTCGTCTTTCCCCGCCATANTAAGAGAAATATTGTCACTTTTTGTTTTAAGGCGTTTTTCGTATTACTTTATTGTGACTTATCTTATGGTTTTGGAGTAAAAGCGTCTTTATGCTAAAAATGACGTTTTTCAACACAGAGTTTACATAACTATCACGGGGAGCCCGTCCAGATCCCGTCACTACTAAAAACATGTCACTGTTACTCACAACAAATGCCGGTTTTCCCATTAAACTCCATAACGACACTAGTGATATCTGCCGAACTATTTGAGCTTTAAGCGTGGGATTTTTACAGCATGCACTTTTCACGGAGCGCTGATAAATGGCGTTGTTAACTCAATTTCTCCCAATTTCGTATAGTGACGGTTTGATTATGAACGTGCGATATCCTGATAAAATAAAAACAGTAATAATGCTAAATAACAGGCGATACTAAAAAAATACATAAAATACTCAGGAAATGCCAACAAATAATAAAAAATGATACTTTTTGAAAAAATCTGCTTTTAAATTCGAACGATCATAGCAAATGTTGTGATAGGGATAGAGACATGCAATTTTTGGTTTTACAAAGGTAATACGATAGAGAATAATAAAAAGTAATAAAAACTACCTGTTATAGGGGCATTTTTTGAAGATATTTATCAAATAACCAAAAAAACACGAATTTAAAAGCAGATTTTTTTCAAAAAGTATCGTTTTTTATTATTTGTTAGCATTTTCAGGGTATTTTATGTATTTTTTTTGTATCGTCTGTTATTTAGCATTATTATTGTTTTTATTTTATCAGGATATACCTCTTTGTTTAAAAGTTATTACGTTTTCTTTACAATAAGTAAATGGAAGAAAAAAAATCTATAAAAAAAATTTTTACCTCTTTTTTGCCGATAAAAATAGGTCTAGTTTCACCTAATTTCATATGTACATTTTAACGTGACTCACACTGTATTATGTATGTATGTATTCAAAAAGTATATTAAGTACACACACCGGCAGATTTAGCGGAACGCAAAAAAAAGTATGAAAATAAGGAAAATTACTACTGATCTATGAAATATTTATTATACAAAATAAAGAGATAATTAAAATAAAATAAAATAACATATATTTTTTAAATATTTAGTCGTTTTTATTTAATAAAAAATCATCGAAACGAAATTTCAATTTTTCAGTTTTGAACAAAAATTAGAAATTGTGGCCAGATNTATAAAAAAATGTAACCTTTTTGAATAAAAAGTAACCTTCATACGGGGGGGAGGGGGGGGTTGCGGAGCGAAAATGAATGACCATTCCATGAAGACCGAAAAGTGACCGGTCGTATAAAAACGTTTCCTGGATTTGCGTTTTATTATCGAAAAACATTCGCTAAAATTCATTTTTTTTAACAAACAATAAATCAAATTCATATTTTAGTGCAGTTTATGACATAATTTTTAAATTGTCACTATTAATATTTTTTACTATATTTATATTGTCACAAGAATTAATATATAAATAAATATTTATACTGTCACAAGAATTACAACCAATAAGTACCTATATAATTAATTAATTATGTATTGTGAAAATAAAGTTCATTCTAATAATGTTTTGTTGATTGTGCATATTTTGTGCATATTTCGCCCTTTTTTAGTGCATATTTGCATGCATATTTTGGCATTTTGATAGTGCATATAATCCGATGTCTAGTTATAATGTTCTTAAATCTGCGGCAAAATTATTGACTTTGGGGTGGAGGCCTAGTAAACCTTGTAAGTTCTTTGTTAATAAAAAAAATATATTTCTCTGCCTCCAGACATACTTTCTGTGCTGCCTCCTTGCAAAAAAGGTTAGGTCAAAGAACTTTTTAATAAATATATAATGAATCTACTTACTTCACTATCAGAGTCATAGTAGATAAGTGAACGACGTCTTAGCACCACCCAGCGCTCCTTAAAATTTACAGGAGTAAACAACTTTTTGTTTTGTGATCTTTTCACCATAAAAGCTTGCAAAATTACATCGTCTTCGTCTTTCCCCGCCATATTCACTGAAATTTTAAAACCATCTTAATCATAAGTTCCTTCATGACCTATTAAAACAAAAAGGACAACAACACAAACCGGCGACTAGGTACCTGTCTGAATCCAATCAAAGGCGACACCATTCCACTTGAAAACTTTTGTTTGAACTGTATTTTTGAACAAATCACTAATTATACTTGTAGCAATTATACAATGTACGTTCTTCAATTATTAGTCATCGTCGCCAGTCGCCAGCTTTCTCGTTTTCGTTGAAAGAGAAAATATAATAAAATTATTAAAATTAAAACTTGTTGTGGCTATCAGACAGACACAACACCAAAGTAGTGATGTCCAATAATACATAATACCACAGACAAATATGTGTGTGGTGTGCAGTGCAGTGATGGATGAACAAGAATCGATTAGTTTATTAATTGATAAAATAAAATACAGTGGCAAACACGAATTTTTAAAAAAATAGCAATAGTTTTATAATCAAAATCCCCCAGTGTCGTTAATCATAATTAATTTCATGATTCAATCCTATTTGGTTTTTGTTTTCTTCGTTGTGTTGGTTCATGGTTGTTGCCTATGGTTGTTGCCGTTGTTTGTTTGTTGGACACGGTCGACGAAGGCGGTTGAGGTCGGCTAATATTTTGATGAAAATAGAAAATTAAACTTTCAAACTCACGTTTACGAATTCAATACCCACTATAATTTTTATTGAGTCTGGATCAGACGGACATTGTAAATACGCTTCGATTTATTCATTAGCTACCCTCTGTACAAAGATCTATCAACGATTAGATTGTGACGACTTTAAAATCGAGTATTCAATTAGAATTATTATGTGCTTTATTCAAACAAATCCTAAAAGTTTGCTGCATTAATCGAAACGTTTATTAAAAATATTTCATGGCTGCCAACATCAATAAATAGAAAGGGATGTTCCAATCATGAAGCTATCNGAAAGGGAGGTTCCAATGCCATTGTATGTGTTACGGTAAATGTGATAAATGTGCAAATTATGAATAATTACCGGTTTTGTTAATAGTTACCTCATATTTTGGTAAATGTGATTAATGAAATATGAAATCATTTATGTATGTATAAAACTAAATAGGCGGCTTAGGGGTACCCCCGCTGCACCTTAACCTATTTGACACTTTAAATCAAAACATAATTATGTTAAGAGCATTATGGCATAGTCATATTCATAGTCAGTTATTCCATAAAAGTAATATTATGCAAGAAACATTCAACTATGCCAAATTATAGTAATGTAATTATGATATCAAACCGTTCAAAATGTGTGGCTGTACACGAGCAATGGAAGTAGTGCAGTGGGCATAAGTGCATCAATCTGTTGTTTCGTCTTTGTTAGCACGTGCACTTTACCGTGATACCAAATTGTACCTCTGCTGAAATGAAAATGCAGGGAGATTCGCGCGCCACTGAAGATGAATTGCAATTGAATTGGAGATATTTCAAATTAGCGCAATCTGGGCCCAGATCTGCTTTATAGCATAATATCCCGATTCTGTCAGCCTGTCATGTCGGTTTGGTGTAGTGGTTCAGAACGGACTACTATGCCGAGAGGTCCCGGATTCGATTCCCAGTCGGGCAGAAATTCAGAAATTGAAATGATGAATTTTAATTTCTGTGACGGGACTGTTACTATGTATGATACAGTGTGAGTCACGTTAAAGTGTAAATATGAAAACAGATGAAACAAGACCTATTTTTATCGTCGAAAAAAGAGGTCAATTTTTTTTAGTTTTATAGATTTTTTTTCTACCAGTTACTTATTGTAAAGAAAACGTAATAACTTTTAAACTAAGAGATATTNCAGAGCACTGCCAAAATCACTAAATAATAAATAAATAGAAAGATAAACATAAATATACTACACTCCACTACTTAACTGATCTCTATTTACTAGATAATTTATAAAAATCGCAAAAGCAAAAATTGAGACAACCGCCTAGCTTGACGTTTCCCGCGCTTTTTCAAGAAGCGAATTTCACACAAAAAATATCACTAACAGAATATGTGATGTTACACAGTACACTGAGATCAACAGTCAGTGCATGCGTATTGTGTTCTTCGTGAGAACTGTAATTTATGATTTGGTTCCAACGAGACACAATTTCAACGGGACACATTTTCAATCAGACACATTCCCACGTGGACACATCAATTATTGTATCATCAGTTAAATGTTTTAATGAAAAAAATAAAATGTGTTAAATGTCATGGGTATGTATTCGTCTGCCGTTTGGTGTAGTGGTTCAGAACGGACTACTGTGCCGAGAGGTCCCGGGTTCGATTCTCGGCCGGGCAGAAATTGAAATGATGCATTTTAATTTCTGTGACCGGTCTGGGTGTTAGACTATCTATGGGTACTTCTCATTTACACTCAAATTTGATGGTCACACAATAATAGTTCATAAACGGTATAAGTTAGAACAATACCTTTGAAATCAGATGATAAAATATCTATTTAGCTACATACAAAATAAATTTTATCGTAATAGAAACAAAAATAATACGAAAATATCACATGAAACGATAAAAAACCCCGTTTTTTATTTCATATCATTTTTCGCGTTCTCATCGTGTCACACCTTCGGTTGCAATGAAACATTTGGTTACTGCATTCACAATTTTCATTCAATTTGTGTGTAGCATATACCAAAATCNATATCCTGATAAAATAAAAACAGTAATAATGCTAAATAACAGGCGATACTAAAAAAATACATAAAATACTCAGGAAATGCCAACAAATAATAAAAAATGATACTTTTTGAAAAAATCTGCTTTTAAATTCGTGTTTTTTTGGTTATTTGATAAATTTCTCCAAAAAAATGCCCCCATAACAAGTGGTTTTTATTACTTTGTATTATTTTCTATCGTATTACCTTTGTAAAACCAAAAATCGCATGTCTCTATCCCTATCACAACGTTTGCAATGATCGTTTGAATTGAGCCTCTCCGGGCGCGCCATTCAACGCTTCGTTAACAACGAAACTGAAGATGGCTCTAGATTTGTAATTTTGATAAAGACAAGTTTGATTTCAAATAAAAACAAAAGATTTCGAAGTAAAATAAGCATTTTAGTTAAAATTAAAATTGTCCCTACCTGTAGCGGAGAATAATGTTGAGGCAGGCCTTTGTTCAAACGATCATAGCAAATGTTGTGATAGGGATAGAGACATGCAATTTTTGGTTTTACAAAGGTAATACGATAGAGAATAATACAAAGTAATAAAAACTACCTGTTATAAGGGCATTTTTTGAAGAAATTTATCAAATAACCAAAAAAACACGAATTTAAAGGCAGATTTTTTTCAAAAAGTATCGTTTTTTATTATTTGTTAGCATTTTCAGGGTATTTTATGTATTTTTTTTGTATCGTCTGTTATTTAGCATTATTATTGTTTTTATTTTATCAGGATATACCTCTTTGTTTAAAAGTTATTACGTTTTCTTTACAATAAGTAAATGGAAGAAAAAAAATCTATAAAAAAATTTTTACCTCTTTTTTGCCGATAAAAATAGGTCTAGTTTCATCTTATTTCATATGTACATTTTAACGTGACTCACACTGTATTATGTATGTATGTATTCAAAAAGTATATTAAGTATTATAATATATCCGTTATGCTAGCACCCAGTGCCGTACCTAGAGCTAGGTTAGGTTTTGTAATTTAGTAATAGTTCGATCTTTGCAAAAAACGGGAACATCCCTATTTAGTTTGTCATATTGGCAGCAGTGACAGTCCGTCCGTCATTTTGTTGTCCATTTGTTTTTGACATTTAGGTAGCACAGTATTTTTTTGTGTATTTTTGAGCCTGAAATACCTACGTGCAATTTACTTTCCAGAAAGAAAGTAGTTACCTTCTGAAGCAGTTGACTCGGTCAAACTGGATTCATAGCCAAAAGTATTTATAATCATATTTTTATTCCATACTAGCTTTCCGCACGCGGCTTCGCCCGCGTGGAATTTTGTCTGTCACAGAAAAACTATCGCGCGCGTCCCTGTTTCAAAAACCGGGATAAAAACTATCCTATGTTCTTTCCCGGGACTCAAACTATCTCTATGCCAAATTTCATCAAAATCGGTTGCGAGGTTTAAGCGGGAAAGCGTAACAGACAGACAGACAGACAGACAGACAGACAGACAGACAGAGTTACTTTCGCATTTATAATATTAGTTGGGATTTATTACTTTACTACTCAGACTTACTATAATTTTAGGCCAACTATCCAAAGAAGGCCTAGATTGGATACATAATTGATTAATTTCTTAATTTTCAGCACAATCTGTCGATTAACATGTCTTCAGAAACAGCTCAAGTTAGTTCGTTGCCCCTGCCTCCAGTGCAGTTTATTAATTTCTATACAGATGAAAATGTAAGGAGAAATCGAGCGCCTTTACCACCGCGGCCTATACATGATTCGTATTCTATGTTTGGACATCCTTTCAACGCTGATGATACAATCATACGGTCATTGGAGAGTCAGGTCAGTTTCTTCTTCATTGCTTGTATAAAATTTTTTAAATGATTTTTAGTTTCTGCATTATACATTGTATTTTTTTATAAATATGTCCAATTTGGTTATACAGGAGGATCAAAAGTTATTTATTGTATATCCGAAATGAATTGATTTTGGTTTTACAGGGGTTTCGACGCCTGTATCCAGTACACTTTGAAAGACGAAGAGAACTAAAAAAGCTGAATCATTCATTACTTGTAAATTTTTTGGATCTCCTAGATTTGTTAGTAAATTGTCCAGATTCACCTAAGAGAGCTGAGAAAGTTGAAGATCTCAGTTTACTGTTTATTCACATACATCACCTGCTAAATGAATTCAGACCGCATCAAGCTAGAGAGACTTTACGGGTCATGATGGAGTTGCAGAAAAGGCAGCGTGTGGAAACTGCTACAAGGTAATCAATAAAAGTATAATCAAACTAAATGTTCATAAAACAAAATAGTTTGGCTCTCCTTGGACAGGATTGCCTGAGTAAAATGTAGGTAGAAAATTACGCTGGACAGAAAAGTTTAATAATAAATGTATTTATTTACCTTATGAAGATTTTGTTTGACCTTTGAATTTTTTCAGATTCAAGAAACATTTGGACAAAGTGCAAGATATTCTACAGAATGCCCTACAAAGTTTGCCTGACCAAAATGAGGTTGACTCCAATTTCAAGGTGCCCATTGAGATGCTAGAACACATGGACTGCAGCCCTAGCGACAATGCCGCTGTGGACCCTTGCTATGAACTCGACAGAATTATGTGTAATGTCATTGATAATATGAGATGAACAGCTTTTAATTGTATTCGTTTAGATTTAGCAGAAATAGAAAATATAAGACTAATTTTTATATACTGGTATTTTAATGTTGAAGACCTGAAATCTTAAAAACTTGATTGGAAGAAAAAATGAGGCCCTCTAACTCATTAACATTTCAAAAGTTTTGCATATTAACTTTCGTTTTCCTAACGCCTGTAGCGCACCTGCTCCGCCACGAAACGATGACAGCGAAAGGATTTCAATATACACCTCTGTGTTTCCCTAGCCATGTTGCTAATGTGGGGATGTGATCGCAGAGATGTATACTGAAATCTTTTCGCTGTCACGGTTTCGAGGCGGAGGTGTGCTACAACCATGTATCTTTAGCTTCATGGCTACAACAGGCGTCATGATTATTCAGAAAAGAAGCGAATTTCACACAAAAAATATCACTAACAGAATATGTGATGTTACACAGTACACTGAGATCTCAACAGTCAGTGCATGCGTATTGTGTTCTTCATGAGAACTGTAATTTATTAATCAGAATAGTAATTTAATCTTGATGCTTTGTCCATGAGAATTGGCTATGTAAAATGTATTTTAATAGGTCTCTGTCTCTTTTAGAACTACTTTCTACAACCTTTTTTTGTGCCTAAGTACAGTTGATAGAACAGATAAAGGACTGAAGCATCATTACTTGGAATGAGTGCTATTTGGCAGCAAAAAATTAAAATGAATTGGTGTGCTGTGTTTGTACTTGAATCTAATTTAATGTGTATGTAATTCTTTCTGTAAAGGTAGATAGGTTTAAAAATTAAAACAAAAGTAATATTTTAAGAGCCATTTATTGTTTACGAAGATAGATCACACAATCCCATAAACATAAGGTACACTTGAAATAATTTCCTGGCTGTACAAAACAAGCCTAAGAAATTAAAAACTGGAACAAGAGTTGTAATACCGGAGTGATACATTCACTACTTACCGAAATATAAAATGTGGACGCTCCAAACGGCAGGGCTAGTTTAAAAAATGTGTATGTAATTCAATATCATATTACTATCGCTAAACTTACGCACGAAGATTTCGAAGACTACTTTTCCAAATTTCAGTGCTGTAGCACCAGGCAGGCTGGAACTAGCTGCTACTAACTATATTCATATAAAAGATTATATATTAAAATCTAACATACTTACCTATTCTGTGGTATTGCAACTGTTACAAAAGTAATGCAGTCATTTACCTCGAGAAATATCCCAACATTGAAACCGTAGTCACGATGGCTGGACTGAAAGGAATTAATTGAAAACAAAATATGACCAGTTCCTAAGATGTGTCACGATGCTGCATAAATAACCTGATAAATAAATATCACGAATCACCAGCTTCTACTCGTATCGGCTATAGTCCATAATAAAGAAATGTCCTGAAAAATAAACCAGAAGAAAAAATAAAACCTATCCCATGGATACGCTGGAACAGTGATAGAACGAAGTTTTCCTAAATACTTAATTCAAATTGACTCTTTTTACGTGCCCAATTTTATTTTTGGTGGTAAGACTTGTGATGTCAATAGTGTCTTCTTTTTATTGTCATGCGAAGACAGTAAATAGGCACCAGTTAAAAAATCATTATTTCCAACTAAAATCAAAAATGTCGAGTCCGTGTTTGTTAGTATTAATAATTGCTACGTCGTCGGAAAGGGGCGCCACTGTTTCTAAAGTCGCGTCTCCCATATCCACCCCTGCCCCTCCCGGGATTGGGTCCAGAGAACCTTCCAGTATTGTTCAGCCTGGAACTGTATTTGCCAGACGGTGGGGTGTACATTTTCAGGTTTCTATCGCCACTGCGTGCGCGTTTTTCGGGGGATCCCTTTTCCTCGCCATTATCAAATGTGATTGGTTGGTGACGCTTTTGGCCTGCATGTGGTTGTTTTTCTTTGACCTCTGAATTGCTCAGCTGTTTTTCCTGTAGACAAAAGAAAAAAAAAGAATTAAATAATGTACTTCAGCCTATCTTCAAATAATACATAAAATCAAGTCAATATGGTAAACAGATCCTAAGAACGGTAACTTACCTCTTTCTCAGCTTTCTTTGACTGGAACGACAACTGTACTTTGCTCTTGAAACTAGGCGGAGTTCGGAATATGTCCCTGATGAGTGTATTGATGTTTGATGTTGTTTTTAATGCAACAACCTTCAATTTGTTTTCTTCTGAGTTGGCATCTTCTCCTTTTTTATTCTATAAAAAAAGAAAATTATTTGGTTATTAGTCCTTACAAAAGACAAAACCACTTTGAAATGAATGAATGCTAATATGAAAGAATTGACTAGCAAGATTTTGTTATGAAATAAGTAATTTTATTTTATTAATAAAATAACAATAAAATGTATTAATTACCTGTGTAACTTCCTTGAGTTTCTTTATGTAGCCCTGTGTGAGGCGGGCTGTGTACTGCAGACGTAACCGCAGAGCCTTCAATCTAGCAGCATCAGCGCTCAATGCATCAGGAGCTTTCCGGCACAACGAGTGGAGTGCATACAAGGCACACTCCACGTGTGAGAACTGCAGTGATGGGACGGCAGTAGTCTCTTCTTTTTTGCTTTCCTCTTCTGATTTTTCTGCCTTGTTTTCTTCATTTTCTAAAGGAGCTTCTGGCAAGTATTTCTGTGAAACAATAAAGTAAGTTAGATTATAGAAGGTCATCGGCAAGGTAAAACAAATAATTGCAAGAAACCACAATTCTTACCATTAAGATATCATAGATTGTGTTAATCTTGTCTTGTAGTTTCTCAACCTCTCCACAATGTTCTGTGATTTCAGCATACATCTTCAGTAGTTCAAGTTTTGGATCAGTTCCTTCGGGTGTGGTGATGTCATCCCATCTCGACAAGACATGTTCACTAAAGAAGTTGATGAACTGGTTTGAATCCACTTGGGGCTACAAATAAAACATATTATGTAAGTCCAAAGAATTGTTAGTTGAAATTCCATAAAATACTTGAAAAAAGTAGGAAATCTTACCGAAAATAAGGGTAGTGCATGTTGTGTGCATTGTAGGATCCTGTCAACATATTCAGGATCTTCCGGATGCCAATCTTCGGGGGCAAACGCAAGAGCAGCAATTAGTTGTACTAGCTCCTTCTTCCCTGCCGGTGTTTTGCCAAGTCTGGACCATGTGAGTAACTCAATGATATGCTCAAATTCTTCAGCAACAACATCCTGCAAATAAGAAACAATATTGTTATTTAAAATAAATATCAACACTAATTGATAGATACAGGAATTCTATTTATGACAACTGAATTTAAAAAACTAATTAAATTGATAATTAAGATAATGAGTGCTTAGTAATTAATTAAGGTGTTAATGATAGCACTTTACAGAGAAATGTACTCATGATTATGTAATTGAACACCATTAACCAAGTGACTAATCTCTCAAATTATGACTCACAAAATTAAGTAAAAATATTGATTCACAAAGATAGGGACACATACCTCTAATATTTTCCGGCATTCGGCAATAATAAGGTCCTCTGCTTCTTTGTTGATCACTTCCCGCCCAAGTTGTTTGACTTTGGTGGCCAAGAACTTGATGCATCTTTCCCTTACGATTTCATTTGTTACTTCAGTGTCTGCGCTTTGATGTATTTGAGAAAATATCCCCGTTAAAGCTCCTTTAGGGTCACTCTTCACAATTGCCAGCAATGAGTTAGTGACAACATTGATTTCGGTGGTATCCTCAGACTGAAGAAGTTGCGCCAGAATGTCAGCAATCCGTTGTGTATTCTCCTTGTTGTCTTTGCAAAGTACAGGCAAGTCTTTGATAGCTTGCTTGCGAATCTACAAACAAAAATCAACAATAAATAAAGTTTCTTCCAGCTCTCATTGAAACCACAACAAAAGTAACAAATATGATAAAAACTAGGTACTTTTCTCCTGGGGCGGAACAAATAATTTTATGCAAAATCATTTGCTAAGGAAACCCAAATATTGTAAATTAAATAAAACACGGGCAAATATAGTTTACATCAATACACCACAATGAAACTATAAAGTAGCACTTGAGAATCTTGTGTAAGTGATAGTTCCCCCAAGAGATTATTAAATGACAAAAATAAAAAAACACCACGTCAGACAATACTTACAGCAACATCATCATCTTCACAAAGATCAAATTGAGCCTCAATAGCTTGCTCGGCGAGGTTAGGAAAACTATGGAAGAACTTCGCAATGAATTGAGAAGCGAGACGCTTCTCCTTGTCGGATCCCTTTACAGCTGATAATATTTCCAAATACTCCTTTTCATGCTGTAAAGAAATACCACAAGTAAGTAACTTGAATTCTAATTTAAGACCATAGCATACAGTATCAAAATAAAATTTAGGTTACCTTAGAAATGTCATCCTTGGCGTCGGCCAATATGCCATAGTTTTGGTACAGTTTTTCGATATTATCCGCCGACATTGTTGAAAAATAATAAACTCACTATACAACTTCACCACAAAACTACACAGTAGCACCAATAATATTGAAGACCACGATAAACAACCGCAATAAAATAATCCGATGACGACTAATCACGACGACAAGCAATCAATGAATGATGCAGGGTACGGAAACTTCCATACTACGATCAAACTTGCTTCCAAACAGCGACTTCAGTCGATAAATTCCAATACTTTTTTTTTTTCTTTATGGCTCTCGCGGATTGCGTTTAGCCACGACAGGGTTCTTGATTTTTGCGTTCAGTTTTGCCATAAGTTTTGCGGACATTGCGTTTAGACAGGGTGGGATTGGGTTAAAGTTAAAAGGTAGGGAACAGTTTCAGTTTACAGTTTTGTTTAATTTCATAAGGAGAGCATACTCTAAAGCCTTAAACAGTCCAAAACATTCTCCTGTAAAGACTGATGATTCTGGAGGGAGTTTTATTTTCTGGACAATATGATATTGTTTATGGTATGCGCCAACGCCAACATGNTATCCTTATCTGTGAAAAATACCATGAGCTGGTCAATATAGCCAACCTAACAACATGAACAGCCAATCTTAACGCTAATCACAAAGAACGAACGGTGAATGACATTAGTGATGTACTAAATCTTTTTATTGAGCTACATTGAGCTCAATGTTATGGTACTATTATGAACAATAGATGGCGCTAAATATGAAGAAAGAAAGATTTGATTATTAGTTTATTAAGGGGGTTTTGCAAATTGCATTAAAAAAAAATACAATGACTGTGTGGTGGTGTGGTGAATCTCCTGATCCCTGATCCTTATAATAATGTTAAATAATTAATTTAATTGTTTGAACGGATCCAATTAAATTATGGTGTTATGAAATAATTATTTTGAAATCTATGTTTACTCATTCGTATGTTCACTTAGGTAAGTTACTACATAGTTGCCTACATAGTTGTTAGAGATGACCCACGCTGAACTGTCCCACCAAACTCAATGACAGGGGGGCGCTACTATCGTTCAACTATATGGTTTGCAACATGGCAAAAATCTGAACCAGCGATTCGGTATTGACGGTGGCGCCCCACTGTCAATGTCATCGACAGGACAGTCCAGTATTTTGGAACTATACTGACTTACCAAATCTATTACTTACCTTTACCTATTACTTATCTACTCACAGATTTGTGTTGTCTTTTCATGAAACTCATATTTTAAATACCACGTGGTAAATTAGGTCCTCTTTTGTAGAACGCCTTTAAACCTTGTACCTTTTTACGATAGTTTGTAACTACCACGATTGACGTCACTTGTTCAGAGGTACCCTGCCAGTTCAGTATGTTATGAAAGTAAATCAGATTATGGATTATGGTTATAATTTTTGTTACAAAATAAACAGTATTCATAAAATCTGTAAAATGTTACAGTTTCGTAGTTAAATATAATGGGTTCTTAGGCCCGGTTTCCACCAAGAGATGTACGGCGAAGCTGGCACTGAAGCGAAGTGGATATGTAGTCATGTGAAAATAATGAAATCTGATTGGTTATTCAAAACTTCTCTGCTCCGCTCCACTACGCCTTGATGGAAGCCGGGCCTTACATACACTATAGTGGCTTAAAAGTTGTTGTTATTTTATTACCTATCCTTCGTATGTAGCAAATCTTGCTTAAAAACTTAGTAACACCTGCACTGGCAATACCTATTTTGGGAAAATCTTCTTTCTTTGTATTTAAAAAAACAAAAGCATTCTTTGAACGGAGTATTATTTTTCTACATCTTTTTAAAATATTGAAAACAAAAGGTACAAAGGGTGCCGAAGGAATAGTTACACTAATCCTTATCTTTATTTTTACCTGCAGGAGTGCAGGCAATCGATAAACATTTAAAACCAAAACAAAAGTGCTAAGATTTTATTTGTTTAATTGCAACAATAAAAGTATGATAAAAATAACAATGAAAATATTTAAACACGTGCAACACAATAAAACCTAAAAGTAAGAAAGGATACATATTCAAAAGGCTTTAGTGAAAGGTAGTACGGGAGGTACCCACCCACTTGCCCATTTTAAGTTGCCTAGCTAAGTCAGGCACACGGAGCAAAAACAAAGGTCAGGCAGTAAGTTCAATCAGATTTCATTGTATCAATTTCATTTAATCTGAATTAAATCTGATTGGTTATTCAAAAGATTTCTCCGCTTCGCCCCGCCTTGGTGGGAATCGGGCCTAATGCATAAGAATTTCAGCCAAAAAGTACGTTAACACATTACTGCGCCATCTATGTAAAAGGGAACTAATTATTTGATAAACTCAAATGCATTTCCAACTCTATGCTGCCGCCGCACATTAACGCCATCTCGTAGCGATAAACTAACAACTCTCATGGCGCAAATTCACTATGCGGGAAATTGGCCAAGACGTGAATAGTGTGAACACCATCTCGGTATTCTCGGTTACTTTTTCCTTCCTCCACCCGGGCACCCGGGCACCCGTGCGCCGTGCCGTGTGTCGCCCATACTTCGGTGTGCGGGCTAGCGCTTCCACTTGGACAATTTTCCGTATAGTGTAGGTACTTGCGCCATCATGTCAAAAGTTTCGAAGCTCTGACACAGCACGGCAGACTTTTATAAATCCACCTATAATCAAGTCTACATTCAAACAATTCCAAACATTTTCCATTGTTATTAAATTAGTTATATGGTATTTATGCGCCAACCTATAATAATATCTCATTGATTCATAAATTTGTACCTAGCTACTTTGAGCTAGCAAAGTTATAGAATCTTCCAGTGACTTGGCTCACTTGGCTCACTTTTAGCTTGGTCCACGGGCCAAGTCGCAGGATTTCATTTTTCAATATTTCTTCTTCTAGCTAACTGGGTTCACCTTCAATGTTTTTATTCATAAATGAAACATCAAATCAACCAAAATCAAAATCCTAAGCTGTGGTCGAGTAAAAAAATACCCGTTCGCTCTCTTTTTAAATACCTAATTAAAAAAACAAGTTTAATGTAAAAACTTCGTGACTCTTATAATAAATAGAAACACTTTCACGTTGTGACTCGTGATGATATTATAATGGTTTGGTTTTCATTCTCAGAATACAGAACAACTTTTCATTATGTAAGTTTGCAGAATCGCTAAAATCAAGTCCAGCAGGGCAGAGGTATAGCTCGTAGACTTTGTGGAAATCCTTGGGGGAGGCCTTTGTCCAACAGTGGACGTCTTTCGGCTGCAGCGTACGAACGAACGATGTACTAAGTTTGCTGCGATATAAAATATTTTTATCACATTTTATGCAAAATGTTGATTATTAAAATCTCAAATTACCTGCGTTTATTGAAATAATTATGTCATTTAAAATGTTTAATTTTCATCACTTTTGTGTAAAATAAAAATATTTAGTTACCTAAGTACCTACTTTCTATAATAAGTTTTCTAGCTTATAAATATTACTTTAACTTAAAACAACGGGGAGGACATCTTATGCATGTATAGACTGAGCATCCATCTCACGCTGCAAACCCAAGTAGGTAACGGTTTGGGCTTGGGGTTCGATCCCCGTGCAACACTGATGTGGGATTTCTACAAGTCCTACTTAATATATTTATTTTATTTTATTTTATTTAGGATAACAAACAATTGTACAATTCAGATATGCAGTAAAGTTATACATCGACATTTAGTTATTGTACAACCCGCACCGCTATCCCCATCTTACAAACATGCTTTGCCTCTTTGCACCACTAGCTGATCTATGGAAATGAACAGAACAATCAGTGGAGCCACAAAATATAACAGAAGGTAAACTCATGTATGTACCTCGCTTTGTATACCTCGCTCGCTCGCACGCTCGGCCGTTGCGCTAGGGTTGTCTTGTCATGTGTTGCGTTTATTTCGTTATGATAGAAAAATGTAACTCTTAATACCATGGAAGAAAGACAATATCCACGTATAATTATGTAGTTATGTTTAGTACGTTATTATAGTAATAGTTTGCAAACAAATACACGTGTTGGAAGTAGTATGTAGTTGAGTGGTTGACTTGACACTATTATCCAATAATTCCTAAAATTATTTAGAGGTCTCAGGTAGGTAACGTACGTACCTACTTAATTTGGGGCTGTTGGGCTGAACCTCAGACTAAAATGGCAAAGAATACTTGAAGCTTATCATAATAATATGAAAAACAAAACAAAATCATCATCATAACTTCATAACACGAGAAAAGAAAAATTAAATTATTTATTTTATTTCTCAATTTTGTACAATTAGATTGATTTTTGCGGCAATTAGGTACTTATTGTGATTATTTTTTGGCAAAGCGATAGGTTAGTGCTATAATTTTAGATCACTAATGCCCGTATTCACAAACGATGCTTGCTTAAGTAAAGCAGCAAATCGAACGCACAGCGTTGAATAGAGCTCTGTGATTGGTTCGTGTGTCACCCTGTGCGTCCACACGCACTATGAGACCTCATAGTAATGTTTGTGAGACGGGTGTAAGTTAGGTAGGTACTACATCGAAATAAAAAAGTTAGAATAACAGAAAGATTATGAAGATCTATGAATTAGTTTAATTTTTAAAAACTGTTCTTTAAACATAATATGTAATTAAAGACAAACACACGAGAAAGATTAACAAACTTGTTAGGAGAAATTACGCAATTCTAAGGTAAAGTCGCGGAGACTGCCGTTCCGTACCACCCACATATACAGGATGATTTTGTTATCAGTATCCAAATTTTTAGGACCGACTCAGAATCAGTAACTTAATCGATTTACGTAAAAAAACAATAGGTACATTTTTTTCAAATATCAATTTGTTATCGGCTGCGCGCGGTTTCAAAATAGGCTCACGTGGATAATTTGCTTCGGTCTTAGAAAAATACGTAGGTACATACAGTTTACTACAAAGCTTAATAGACGCAATGGTACGCGAAAATAAGCCTTAACCTTTAAAAATTGACATATTGTGGGCAGTAATGGGCACCTGCAAATTATATGTATACCAATATTTTTTCAACCGACTTCAAAAAAGGAGGAGGTTCTCAATTCGACCCGTATGTTTTTTTTTTTTTTTTTTCTATGTTTGTTACGCGATAACTCCGCCAATTATGAACCGATTTGAACAAATCTTTT